CGTTGTAATACCAATGCCGCGGGCGGCGTAGCCACGCCGCGATCGCAGTACTGACGCCGGGATCGTCGTACCAATGCCGGGATTGCAGTACTAACCCCGCGATTGTAGTCTGAACGCCGCGAGCGGCGTGCCGACACCACCGAGCTTGTAGTAATAACCCCGCGATTGTAGTAGCGACGCTGGCATCGTAGTACCTGCACCTCGATTGTCGTACCAGCTCCGTGGGATGGGAGTACCAACGCCGCGAGCGTGCTTATGCCGCGGCTGTAGCGGGAGTGTAGTGCCAACACCGCGGGCGGAGTGCTAAAGCATCCCGATTGTAATACCATTGCCGCGAGCGGCGTAGCCACGCCGCGATCGCAGTACTGACGCCGGGATCGTAGTACCAAAGCAGGGATTGCAGTACCAACCCCGCGATTGTAGTCTGAATGCCGCAAGCGGCGTGCCGACACCGAGCTTGTAGCAATAACCCCGCGATTGTAGTAGCGACGCTGGGATCGAAGTACCTGCACCTCGATTGTAGTACCAACCCCCGCGATTGGAGTAGCAACGCCGCGAGCGTCCTTATGCCGCGGCTGTAGCGGGAGTGAAGTGCCAACACCGCCGGCGGCGTGCTACAGCAGCGCCGTTGTAATACCAATGCCGCGGGCGGCGTAGCCACGCCGCGATCGCAGTACTGACGCCGGGATCGTCGTACCAAGGCAGGGATTGCAGTACTAACCCCGCGATTGTAGTCTGAACGCCGCGAGCGGCGTGCCGACACCACCGAGCTTGTAGTAATAACCCCGCGATTGTAGTAGCGACGCTGGCATCGTAGTACCCGCACCTCGATTGTAGTACCAGCTCCCGCGATGGGAGTACCAACGCCGCGAGCGTCCTTATGCCGCGGCTGTAGCGGGAGTGTAGTGCCAACACCGCGGGCGGAGTGCTAAAGCATCCCGATTGTAATACCATTGCCGCGAGCGGCGTAGCCACGCCGCGATCGCAGTACTGACGCCGGGATCGTAGTACCAAAGCAGGGATTGCAGTACCAACCCCGCGATTGTAGTCTGAATGCCGCAAGCGGCGTGCCGACACCGAGCTTGTAGCAATAACCCCGCGATTGTAGTAGCGACGCTGGGATCGAAGTACCTGCACCTCGATTGTAGTACCAACCCCCGCGATTGGAGTAGCAACGCCGCGAGCGTCCTTATGCCGCGGCTGTAGCGGGAGTGAAGTGCCAACACCGCCGGCGGAGTGCTACAGCAGCGCCGTTGTAATACCAATGCCGCGGGCGGCGTAGCCACGCCGCGATCGCAGTACTGACGCCGGGATCGTCGTACCAAGGCAGGGATTGCAGTACTAACCCCGCGATTGTAGTCTGAACTCCGCGAGCGGCGTGGCGACACTACCGAGCTTGTAGCAATAACCCCGCGATTGTAGTAGCGACGCTGGCATCGTAGTACCCGCACCTCCATTGTAGTACCAGCTCCCTGCGATGGGAGTACCAACGCACGCGAGCGTCCTTATGCCGCGGCTGTAGCGGGAGTGTAGTGCCAACACCGCCGGCGGAGTGCTACAGCAGCGCCGTTGTAATACCAATGCCGCGGGCGGCGTAGCCACGCCGCGATCGCAGTACTGACGCCGGGATCGTCGTACCAAGGCCGGGATTGCAGTACTAACCCCGCGATTGTAGTCTGAACGCCACGAGCGGCGTGCCGACACCACCGAGCTTGTAGTAATAACCCCGCGATTGAAGTACCAGCTTCCCGCGATTGGAGTACCAACGCCGCGAGCGTGCTTGTGCCGCGGCTGTAGCGGGAGTCTAGTGCCAACACCGCGGGCAGAGTGCTGCAGCAGCGCGATTGTAATACCAATGCCACGAGCGGGGTAGCCACGCCGCGATCGCAGTACTGACATTGGAATGGTAGTACCAAGGCCGGGATTGCAGTACCAACCCCGCGATTGTAGTCTGAAATGCCGCGAGCGGCGTGCCGACGCCGGGTTTGTAGCACTAACCGCCGGGATCCTAGTACATCTAGTCAGTGCCAACGCCGGGATGTCGTACCAACCCCGCACTTGGAGTATCGACGTCGAGAGCGGCTTGCATACACTGCGATTGCAGTACCAACCCCGCGCTTGCAGTCCCAACGCCGCGAGCGGCGTACCGACGCCGGATTTGTAGTAGCAGCCGCGCGATTGTAATGCCCTTGCAGCGAGCACAGCAGGAGAACTGTAGTAGTACAGTAGTAGTACCGCAGTAATACAGTAGTAGTACAGTAGTAGTACAATAGTAGCACAGTATCTGAACCCTAAACCCCAACAAACCTTAAATCCTAACGAATCCTAAACCCCTAAACCCTATAGCAAACCCTAAACCCTTCCCAAAGGGGGGTCAGTCCAGAATCGACCCAAAATTGAATTTTTTATACAAACGTTAGTACTGGAGAGGCCTCTTTTCAGCAAGGGTCCATTTCCCGATTCGGCGGTTCGCCCTAGCAGCCCCCCCAATAAGCAAGGCTTACAGTAGCAGTACAATAATACAATAGTAGTACACCAGTTAGTAGTGCAGATTTCATTCCCGACGCCCCAATAAGCGAAACAATTCTGCAAGAGATTGTCGGGCTTCAGGGCCAGGGTTTTAGGGTTTGGGTGGGGGGTTTAGGTCGCGGCTGCCTTTTAAGATTGACCATCAGCAAACAGCACACCCACCCACCCAAAAATCCCCCCCAGCAAAAAAAAAGTATTAATCAGAACACCCAAGTTTTTGGTACCGATCCGGAATTAGGGCCGGAGAAACGCGTTAAAGGGGCCTATATTCCGAAACCGACACCCGCATTAACTTAAAAGTACAAAATCAGCGGAATGCTTTCCCCCAAGAACTGCCATGTCCAACAACCGCCATTCAAATGCTTTGCCCAAGTACTGGCAGCAACACTGAGCATCAGAGCCCTTTCTACTTAGGGTCGGGATTAGGGTGCACAACTCAATGCCGCCTAGACGAAGAAAACCAGACCCTGCGCAATTGGTTACCCGGCGCAGCCTACCGGGGGGTGGCACAGGGCCTCACCAGGCCGTGCTCACCCATTTGGACCTTTGAAATTGTTATGCGGCATTGAGTAGGTGCGAATTTGTTTATCTAGTTACTGCAGAGCTTCCCCCTTTCAGCTTCGAAAATCGTGGCATGGAAAATGCGGCTGAAAGGGCGGAAGCCCCAGAGCCAGGGGCCTTAGAGCCTGCGGCCCCCTTCCTTGGCTCCCCGGATCACACATATATTGTATTTGTGTCGGGGTTGGGGAAATCTGCGGTCTACGTACATGGGAAAATCTAGGCAACACGCAAAATCCACAGAGCAAATACGGCCCTGCGTGGTGCCGGAATCGTGCACCGTTTTTTGGCATGATTAACATGTGTCGCATCCAGAGCAAAATCTGCCAATCCCTCACCGCATCCCTCGCCAACTAGCCCCAAGTACTGGCGGGATTCAGAAACAGTGGATGCCAAGGCAGCTACAACGACCACCGTGATTTGCCCCAAATGCCCCAAGTACTGGCAGGATTGAAAAAAGTGAAGGGCGAAAAAAGCGCTTTCCCCTAGGTACTGGCATCTGCAACATTCACCGTGAAAGTGCTTTCTCGGCAGAAGTACAAACGATCCGGGAACCTTCTTATGTATATGCTGAATTGATGAATAAGCCGCCAATTGCGAGGGAGGGTCACCCTTCAGGACGTTTTGCGCAGAACAACGCCGTACAAAGCGGAACAACAGGGCAAGTCTGCGGCGAGGTGGCTGCGGATCCAGGAGGCGGGTATGATGGCGAAACTACGGATTGACGGGGCGATCATACGGCAAAAACACGCGGGGCCGTGTTCTTGTAGAAGGCCAATCTCAGGATTGACAATCTACACGGTGTGCTCGGCGCGGCGAGCGTCGCTTGGCGTGGGCGAACGGGGTTGTGCATTCGCGCGAAAGCGCGTGCGATTCGCGCGAATGGGGAAAGTAAACAGCCTCTATGTATAAGAAAAAAGGGCGCCCGACCGCGGGCGAAAGCTGACCGCGAGGCGACCCCATGCGCGCGAATTCGCGTGCGCATGCACAAACTGCGTGATAAATCGCATGCGGGGAGGGGCCGCGGCGGCGAATGTTCGCGGAAGCAAGCGGGCGCGGCAGGGCAAAATGGGCCACGGCGGCGAGGGGAGGAACAATTCGAGAGCGCGCGGGGGCGCGCGCACGCGACTGATGCGCGAACGGGGGGGGGGGGGCGCGAAAATGGTGCGCACCGCTTGGGCCCTCGGCCTGGAGCGCGCGGAAGCCGGAGTTTCCAACATTCCGGCCGGACGTAAACTTGGAAACCTCCCCCCCAGCTCATTTTGGCCTCTATGCGGTTTCCAAGAATTCCGCGTTGACCATAACCCTCAAGAACCTACCTTTTTAAGGACTTATGTAGGGAAATCATAATCGGCAACCCCAAAAAGCCAGGTTCTTCAGGGTTAAGGTAGGGCTTTCAGGTCTCAAGGAGCTCTCGAGTTCAGGATCGCGGGGGAGTAACGTCTACTTGGAGGGTCGGGGGACTTAGTAAGTAGGGGGCTCCTTTCAAGGGGATTCTAAGGGTTCCTTTAAAGGGCTCTATAGGGGTACTATAGGGTTTAGGGTTTAGGGTTCAGGGACTTAGTAGGTAGTAAGTAGACTTATACGTACCCTAAAAGGGACCCTAATTGGGGTTATGGTACTTATAAGTCCCTAAAATAACCAGTTACTAAGTCCCCTTAAGACCCTCCAAGTAGGATGCCAGAAGTCCTAGTCATGGCACCAACTGCCGTAGTCCCGATAGCCTGAACCCTAAACCTCGGTGTTTCGCCAAGAGAGTCTCTTTCCCGAACAGAAGCTTCGTAAGCAAACTGCATGTCACGGACACTGGAAGGGTCTTAGCCAATAGTAGGATCCCTGATATGATTTAAGGCACATTCCTTTATTAGGGATGTTGGAGTCTCTCGGCAGCAGCCTTCTAAGCTTTCTCTGAGGAAAACAGGAGTGCATTGAGCAGTCGTTGCTTCTCCTCACCTTTTTCCAGCTGCTGAAGACGGTGCGATATGCAGTCGACACCAAGTCGGCAGCAGGACCATCGGTTTTTCCAGAGTACCATGATTCCTTGGGTATAACGTGTATGTTTCGGGTTCGGGTTGAGGGCTTATAACCCGAGAGAGCGTGAGGTAAGTTCCCCCATGAAGACGGGGGGCAGTTTGGCATAGATGATATCCCTGACCTGACGTTATAGATCACGGCACATGCATCGCCGTTTTCTTTCAAACTTACCCCGGTGCTTGTATTATCTTTTAATGGCTTGGATGAAACATCCCCGGAGGCTTTGTCTTGCGAGCTTGATGTTGCGACTGCTTTGCATCTTAGACCCGGTTCAGGGTTTAGGGTGCAGGGTTTATGGTTTAGGGGGCCAGTCTCCGTAAAGCTAAAGAGCCCGAAGCTCCTGGCTTGGCAGGCGCCAAGATGTCCTTCTTTGGTTACAGCTGCTGCGCTGCCTACAGTGTGCTTTGGGATCTTCAACTCTGGGCCCTACAACCCCAACCCCCCTAAACCCCTGAACCCCAAACGAAGGGTCGCGGTGGTAGCCGCAGCAGTAGTAGTAGTAGTAGTAGTAGCAGTAGCGGCAACAAGAGTAGAAGTCGTCGTAGTTGTAGTCGTAGAAGTAGTAGCAGTAGCAGTAGTAGCAGTACCAGTAGCGTCGTCCTCCTGAGCTTGACTCTTGGCTCTTGTTTCCGATCTTTCTGAAGCTGCAGAAAGCCAAGCCGGAGCCGTATGCAATTTTCAGGCATTTTCGGAGACTGCTCTTTTGTCTTTTTATCTGAGAGTCGGGGGTTTGCGATTGAGTTCACGCGATGGAGCAGGAGCAGCAACAGCACCACCAGCAGCAGCAGTAGTAGCAGTCGCGAGTAGGACAAGTACGAGGAGTAGCACCAGCAGTAGCGAAGCAACAGATGCTGCAGGCGGCAGTGGTGACATAGAGTCCGAACCCTAACTTCGTGAAATACTATGGGGGCCCAAAGTTAGCAATGTTATTCCTCGGGGTTCCTTAGTATAATTACACTATAAAGGGGCCCCAAACCCTATTCTAATTGTTAAGGCCCTACATTAGAAGGGGCCCCCACCCTGTAATAGTGGTATAGGAATATAATAGGGCCCTAATATAATCCTTATAGTCACTATTACAGCGTGGGGGCCCCTTCTAGCCCCTACACCCAGACCTTCCAAAATCCCTTAATTAAGGAATATACCTTAATTCATATTTGGGATCCTATTATAATTTAAGGTATATTCCTTAATTAAGGGATTTTGGAAGGTCTGGGCATTAAGACTGCCAAGCTAGGCTTCGACATCCTCCGCACCGCCGTCCTCCTACGCATCGGTGATCTCCTCAAGCTGCCGCCGGACCAAAACCCTAAACCGCGAGTTTCCGAAAATAGGGGACCCCAATATAGTAGCCTAAATAGTAGGATCCTTATTATAAGGGACCCAAATCATAAAATTTCAAGGTCCCAAAACCGTTCAGAGTATGGATTTTGGGACTATGAGGAAGTGCCTCGGGTACGCTTAGTTTAAGGATCAGAAACTAAGGGTTATGGGTTTGGAATTTAGGGTTTAGGGCTTATTCATAGGGTATAGGGTTTAGGGATAAGGGTTGGGTACGGCCCCCACTTAGCAATAGTTGAATAAAATTCCTTATATAGATATACTAGGACCTTAATAGTAGCCCGATTATAAACTCTTACTGTATGGGGGCAGTACCTAACCTAAACCCCAAACTCCGAAGCTTCAGAGTGCTTGGAAGCTGTGAAGCTTCAGAGTCCTTGAACCCTAAACTCCCTAAGCCCTAAACCCCTAAAGCCTAAACCCTAAAGCCCTAAAGCCTAAAGCCCTAAAGCCTAAAGCCTAAACCCTAAACCCGAAGGCATAGATGAATGAGCGACTATTTCCAGTTGTGAGTTGACTGTGCTTGCAGCAGCATGCAACTCGTAGCAATGGCCATTTCTGAAACCAGATGTAGCCTAAACTCTAAACCCGAGTCAGGACCCTTCGTGATTGTTCGCCCTTCATCCCCCGTGTTGAGGCTTCCCATAACGGCGGCTGAAGTTGCAGAGGCTTAATGTAGGAACCTAAACAACTTCCAATAAAATTGTGGGGGTTCCTTACTATAAGTATAGTATAATGGGCCCGAAAACCCTATTCCAATTATTAAGGCCCCTATAGTAGGCCCGCAAAAAGCGACAGCAGCTGAAGCGGCAAACTCGACAGCGACTTTTACATTCCTCTTTCTTTGTAGGATCCCTCGTATAGTTCCAGTTTAAGGTGTACCTAGAGTCTCCATTGTAGTTCCTTTTTTCGGTTTAACCAAGTATATAAGTCAGGTAGCCCCGGAAAGGAACTACAATGGAGACTATAGGTATACCTTGATTAGGGCATATTGGAAACTCCGGGCACATTCCTCTTGTACTAACTTCTCAGCGCTGGACCCCTAACCCCTAATATTCTGCTTTGAGGCTGGATGTGGAATGCGATGTCGGCCATTTGTACCTTGGGCTCGGCAGTATAGGACTTGCAGGGCTCTATGCCAGAAAGGTTTTAAGTCAGAGATTACTATAGAGCCCTAAATATGTACCAATACCTTTTTTATTTGGGGGGGGGGGCTTCCTTAGTATTATATCTATAGTTCTCTTGGGCCCCATACCCCGATTTTACCTGTTTAGGCCCCGATATTACCGGGTGGAGCCTGAGCCACGAATGTGTTTTTTCAAGTTGCTCCGTGAATCCCAGAGACTCCAATATCCCTTAATTGAGGAATATACCTTAAATTATGATAGGGATCCTGGTATAGTTTAAGGTGTACACCTTACTTAAGGGATATTAGGATATTGGAGTCTCTGGGATCCACGGTCGGGTTTCAACTCCTTCGGTTTGGTGTACGAGTTTTCGCTTCGAGAGGCTGCGGCTAGGGTTATTGCAAGCCAGACTTCGTATTGTCTTGGGCTCTGGCAGTCTTTGTTTCGATCATTAAACGACAAACCCGAAGCCAATGAACAAAAACTCCATACTCATCCGCCCTTGACCCGTAAACCCTAGACCCCAGACCCTAACTCTATGGGCTAGACCATAAGCTTTGCACCCTAACTAAACCTTTAAACCCTAGACCCTAAACCGTAAACCCCAAACCCCAAACCCTAAACCCTAAACCCTGTACCCTAACCTCTGAACCCTAAACCCTAAACCCTCATAGGACTCCTACAGATCCCTTTTTAGAGGAACCTTTTAAAGGACCCCTTTAAAAGAAAACTGTCAAGGAGCACCCCTTTTGCCAGGAACGGCCTGCTAATTCAGCGGCTCAGCTCTGCTTTGCTGCTTCCGACACTCTGTTTGCTGGCCTTGGCTGTCGGTGGCTGCCGGGGCTCGCCGTGACTCTGCTGAAGCCCCTAAACCCTGCGCTCGAAAGCTTAAACCCTACCTGTAGCCGGAAAGACCTACGTTTTTAGGGCTCCTTATTATGGTTTCTATATATAGATCCTTGAAAAGGTAGGTCTTTTCGGCTACAGGTAGGTTTAGGGGCCCAGGGTTTGGGCCTGTAGACCGGCGGGATTTTGCGAGCGTAAGTCGAGGGTTCATGTTTTCCACTTCAGAGTTGAGACCACGGAAGTAGCTTCGCGTTGGGTTTAGGGTTTTGGGTTTTGGGTTTCGCGAAAGATCGTACATGGTCTTTGATAGAGACTGCAGAAGCGGGCTTCGTGAGTCAACTCGATGTACAAACAACGGAACGACAACGACTCGGGGCCATCCGAGGCGGTTGGGTCTAGCGTTATGCCAGCCCCAGAGACTCCAACATCCCTTAATTAAGGAGGATACCTTAAATCATATTAGGGGTTCGAGTACATTTTAAAGGTACATTCCTGAATTAAGGGATCTTGGAGTCTCTGGGACATACCTTAAGCTACCAAAACCTACTTTTTTGTAGGGCCCCTATAAATTCCATATTGGGGTTTATAAGAACCCACAAAAAAAGTAGGGTTTGGGATTTTAAGGTAGCTCTCTCTTTCCGCAGTCTCCGAGGTTCTTTGCGCTCAGGTTCTGCCTCTTCGTGGTGGCCCTGCTGTTCCCGGGGAGCCTTGGTTCCTTTAAGGAATATCCTATAGGGTTCCTTTAAGGGATCTCTGGGGGTGTAGGGGATCTATACGGTTTAGGGTTTAGGGGATATTGGAGTCTCTGGGTTCGGATTAAAGAGATCCCGTATCCCATTCGTCGTGAGCTTTTTCAACTCCCCGAGACCCTAGTTACCCTAGTTAAGGGTTTAGGGCGTATCGTCTTAGGGTTTAGAGTTTCGAGCTATTTTCAAAGAGACTTCATCCTGAATGGAGCCTTACAGCCCTAAGCATCCGCTCTTCAGCCTGGCCGAAGGACCAAACCCAGCAGTCTCCAGTACAAGGGGCATAATACAGACGCTTGAAGAATGAGCAATGCCATTTTAGAGATCCTTATAGTGATTAGAAGCATGATGTATCCCGAAGCCTGATTCTTTGTAAGGCCCCTACGTGACTTTATATGTATATCCCATGATTTAGGGCACTTAAGGAGATGCTACGTAAATTTCATTCACCAGCTTTGATAGGTTGCTACCTTTTCCTGTTATGCTTCCTACCGCTGCGGCTTCCGTGATAGTGCCGTGAGAACTGTTGTGTTACCTTTAGACTTTCGCTCATTATTCTACATCTGTAAATACGCAGGTGCGCACATATGTGCAGATGTATGTCAGTGTATGTGAAAGTATGTAGGTAGGTATGTATGTATATATGTGTGTACGTATGTATGTATTTATGTATTTATGTATTTACGTACGTATGTATGTATGTATGTATGTATGTAAGTATGTATGTATGTGCCATTGTATGTATACGAGCATACGGAGATTTGTATGTATTTATGCTTGTTTCATTGTTTGACATATGTATATATACATGTGTGTGTGTGTGCTCATACATGTGCATGTATGTATGCATGCATGTATGGATGTGTGCATGTATGCAAGTGTACATGTATGGATGCAAGGACATATGCATGCATGCACGGATGGATGGCTGGATGCGTGTAGCATGTAGTATGTAACGTACTGTAAGGTAGGAGTTTGCGAAAATTAGGGCTACCTTGTTTTTGGGTCCTTGTAATAAGGATCCTTCTATTCAGGCTAGTGTATCAGGGTCCCCTATTTTCGGAAGCTCGCAGGTAGTGCAATGTCGCGCAATGCATCCGGGGAGCCAGCTAGGTAGGCAGGCAGGCAAGCAGGTGGCCTGGTAGGTCGGTAGGTAGGTCGGCGGGTGTATGTGTACATACCATATTACCCTCAGTGCGATGTAACGTAGCAGCGCGGAGTGAAGATGCACGCGCCTTTCTCAGTGGCGATTCCGAGATGTGTTTCGGCTCGAGCTCCCAGCTCGAGCCATGCCTGGGCCGTGGATTTCGGCCTCTAGTGACGCGGAGGCATGGTCCTCCGCCATCTTGAAGGCCGGCGACTACTTGGAGTTCGCGGCCTATGATACGAGCCACACCAAGCAGGGAACGGTGGTGGCTCGTGTGGACAATGTGGCCGAGAAAGGCCAGAACGGTCAATGGACCGAGGTCACCTTCCTGGCGGTCTCCGACGAGCACTTGGAGTGGTGGCTCGAAAAGGGCCCGGGGAAGGATGACAACTGGCAGTTCGAGCTGCACGTGTGCAAGCAGACTGCCAGGAGCTGCCGGATGACAAAGCGGGGCCGGTCCCATGACTTCCACACCGACCGCTTCCGGCAGCTCACCCTCGGCGATCTGGCGGACCGAAAGCCAGAGTGGATTCGCAAAAGCAAGTCCAAGAAGTATGTGGAAGAGGAGGTGCAACGCCTTCAGGCACCTGCTGGTGGCGGCCACGGCCGGGGATCTGGAGACCCTGGTCCTAACCTCGACTTCAAGGAGGCAGGCCTCCCGCCGCCGGAGGGCTCGCAGGACGACTCCGCGCTGAAGGGCTTGGCCGAGTTAGAGAAGGAGATCGGTACGCCGAGGAAGAACAGAAGAAAGCGGGCTCAGAACGCCCCTCACGAGGGAGCCGAAAGACCCCTCACGAGGGAGCAAGAGAAGGAGCGCCGCAAGAAGAAGAAGAGACGGAAGAGTGACCCCGGCCACGGCCGAGCTAGGTCACAGCCAGCCCGAGGCAGCGCGAAGCATGAGTGGTTCGGGGAGCCGGTGCGCGACAGTCCCCAGGACCGCTCATACACGGATACGTCCGAGAGATCTTCCACTGACACCGCCGAGGACAAGGCCCACCGGAAGAAGAAAAAGAAGACCAAGAAGAAGGACAAGGCCCGATCGGCGAGAGATCGGGGCCCTTTTGGTTCCGGGCACCAGGTCCACTACGGCAAGGCCATGGAGATCTCGAGTGGGTCCTCGGACGAAGACCAGCTTTTTCGGGACGGCCCTCCTTCCGGGAATGGAACCAGCCTCCAGCTCCAGCTTCAGGAGTATGCTCTGAAGAAGCCGGGGAGGCTGGCCGCCAGGTTGCTGCAGCGCATGCAGAGCATGGTGGGGAAGGAGGGAGGGCCGATCTCGCAAGTGACCTACGGGAACAAGACACCACCCGTGGCCATGAACTTCGTCCTGACGATCTTGGGGCCAAAGCAGCTTCCGGTGAGGACGCTGCGCGAGATGAAGACACTGGCAGCGGCTCTCGACCAGATCGCAGCAGGTCGGTCCCACTCAGCAGCAGACCTGCTAGCACAGCGCTTGAAAGCGCTGGAACTGAGCCAGAGGTCGTGTCGTGGAACAGGGCTCAGTTCATAGAGCTGCTGGAGCCGGAAGGACCCTCCCTGTTGGAACGGGAGGAAGCAGTCCTAGCTTCAAAAGAGTGGGCCAGCGAGCTGAGGATGAGGAAGCTGCAGACCGGGAAAGGCCCGGGCAAGACCGAGGGCAAGGCCGACAAGGGAAACCCCAAGGGGGGCGACGGGAAGCCCGACAAGGGTCCAGGAAAAGGTCGCGGGGGCCGGGGGAAAGAAGGAGCACCAGCAGCCTAGAGCAGCCGCCGACCGTGAAGGAAGAGCCCCCGGACTTCGGGGACACGACCCCTGAGGAACCCGTGCCTGCCAGTTCGAGTAAGGACCCGAAGCCGGAGACCAGCGAGGAGGAAAGACGGTCAGCCGGCCACGGCCGAGGCTCCCCCAACCTGGACGAAGTGGACTACAACGACATGGTCCGAGGCGGAACCCTCCTCTTCGAGATGGGCGAGCTGGGGGAAAGTGATGATGAAGGTCTCCCTAAGGGGAAGGGAGACTCGGAGTATGCGGCAAGCCTCCTGGAAGGGTTGTCCATGAAGGACTGGCGCAGGAGGATGACTTCGGTGCTGGACCGACGCCCTGGCCTCAAGCCGCTGGGGAAGGTCTTCATGGAGGCCATGATGTCGTTGAAGTCCGGCCTGGGTGCTTTCGTCAGGAAGCATGCCAACCCGGAGAAGCTGCCCCCGGGCGGCGAGCCCACTTCTCAGACCCAGGGCCGGGCTCACAGGACGAAGGATGTGCTCCCTATCCACCCAGCCATGGTGACCGTGGGGCTGAAGGGCGTCACCGAATCCAACGTGCACTGGATCCGTGCTATGGTGACGGCGCTGGACTTCCTGTACTGCGCCTGGTCGGAGCCCGTGTGTGTTCCGATGACCCGCTCCCTGAGTTTGTGCCAGCTGCGGGTCGTTACGAGGCTCGCGGGGCAAGTGGATCGGCTCCTGAAGTTGGATAGCAAGCTGGGTTCAACAAAGGAGGCCGTGGCGAAGCTCACTTCCAAGAGGTTCGACTACAACGGCCAGCCCGTGGACCACATGATGGACCTCGACTCCGAAAAGATCATTCGGGCATGGCCTAAGCCCGGGTCGGCGGCGGTGGTTGACCTCCGCGACTGCCTTCCGGAGGACCTCCGGACCGCCTTGGAGAACCCGGGTGAGTATCTTCTCCCCGAGACGGAGTTGCCGGAGCGGCACCGTGGATCAAGAGTGAGAGCCACCGACGATGAATGGTACAAGGTGGTGAAAGCCGGGCACGCCCGAGGTATGTTCGTGGCGGTGTCCGACGAAGACATCCCGGTCGATCGAAGAGGCCACCTGATTACCAATGGGGCCGGCGCGGTGGCAAAGAACAAGGTCGTGGACGGCAAAGTCGTCGAGGCCCAGCGGTTCATTTCCGTACTGTGCCCCATGAATGAGGCGATGCGGCTGTTGCCTGGAGCGCAGGACACCTTGCCCTATATTGGGCAAATGACGGCGGTCCTCGCAGAGAAGGACAGCTACTTGGTGGTCGACTCGGAGGACCTCCAGAGTGCCTTCAACCTTTTTCGTCTGCCTTTGTCTTGGGCCCCTCTTTTCAGCTTCGCCAAGAAGGTCAGAGGGGATGCCCTGGGGTTGTCACCCCATGTTACCGCCAGGCCTGCCCTCAGAGTGGTGCCGATGGGCTGGACATCGGCGGTAACCCTGATCCAAGCGGCCATCCGCCACATCTCTTACACCATTGCCAAGGTCCCTCCCTACGGGGATGTGCGAAAGGACCGACCCCTTCCTGACACAGAGGGGCACACCATCCTCTACCTCGACAACTTTGATGAGATTCGCTACTTGAAGGAAGAGGTGGCCGAGAAAGAAGCCGGCGCCCCGTCGGAGAACCACCGCAGGTTCATTGCGGCTTGTGAAGAGTTGGGCCTCCCGCGCAACCTAGGAAAGCAACTGTCGGGCGCACTGACAGGAACCCTCCAAGGAGGAGAACTTTTGGGAAAGGAGAAGATCCTCAGGCACGCCTACGAGAAGACAGTGGAGCTGATCGAGCTCAGCCTGGGGATCGTTACCCAAGAGTTCATGTCGGAGTTCTGCCTCCGACATTGGAGTGGAAAAGCTGCTTTCGCGGCTGCCTTCCGGAGACCTCTTTACTCGATTCTCCAGGAAGTTTATGGAGTGATGGATTACGCTAAGGATGGGACTCAAGTGGCCCTGCCCATCGCAGCGATCGATGAAATCCTGATCTATGCCATCTTGCTTCCTTTGGCCGAGACCGACCTGTCGTCTGAGATCTCAGGGACCATAAGCTGCACAGATGCATCGCCCACGGGCGGGGGAGCATCGATAGCGACGACTTTCAAGGACAAGTCGCTGCTGCTGCCTCTGCCCGTCCAGGACAACAACAAGTGTGCAGCATGTGGGGTCGACTTGGACGACCCGGCCTGGAGGACGTATCCCTGCCCTCGCAGATGTGGGGTAAGGATGTGTACCCTGAGATGCAGCCGGGCCCATGGGGAGCAATGTGGCCGCAAATGGTGGCACGTCCCAAAGTTTGGAGAAAGGTTTTCTGGAGAAGGGTTCGCCCTCACCAAAGCGGCGGGGCTCAAGGGGATCGCAACCCAGCTCCCGCTCGACATTGCTGTCCCGGGTGACTCGTGGGACTTCCGCTCCGACGAAGGGAAAGCGCGGCTTGATGAGTATGAGGGAGATGGAGACCTCATGTGGAGCCACTGGAGTCCCGACCGGCGGACTTTCCTACACTGCAGCGGCGACTACCGGAACCGCTGGGGGCAATGGACCCGGGGCGAGAGACAGCTGCGGGACCGGAACAATCCGGAAGGCCTTCCAAACCTCCGGCGGGATGAAGCGGTTGCCGTGCGCCAGGGCAATGCGATGGCCAAGCGAGCCATCCGTGGACTCCTTGAGGCTGGGAGGCGTGGCAGGTTCGCCTCCTTGGAACACCCGTACGGTTCCTACCTGTGGTACCTGCCGGAGGCCCGTGCTCTCTACGGAGAAGGCTGGTTTTGGACTAGCTTCCCCATGTGTTGTTTTGGTGGCCAAACGGAGGAGTGGATCACTGTCGTCCACAATTCGGAGTCAGTGAACGCGGTGCTTTCGAAAGCTGAGTGTGACCGCAACCACGCGAGTACTCCTCACGAGGAAGACCTGGAAAACAGCCGGGAATACCCCTGGGAGTGGTGCCTGGTTTTCATGGAGGGGGTCCACGACGAGCTGGCTGGTGTCTACTCGGAGCCCTTCGGAGCCAAGCAGGTCACCTTGGACTCCCTGATGCACCATCAGTTGAAGGGGGCCACTCGTGGGCTCCAGGACCTCTCGGCGGTAGACTGGGCGGTGTCACAAACGGTCAAGTTCCTGGAGACCATGGACACCAACACATCAACATCTTGGAGCTGACGGCGTTCCTGACGGAGTTGCGCCGGCGAGCCCGTGATCCAGCAGAGCACGGCCGCCGGTTCTTTTGTGTGGTGGACTCCTTGGTAACCTTTTACGTTTTGGGGAAAGGCCGTTCCTCTTCCAAGCGCCTCAACCGGGTGTGCAGGCGCATTACTGCTGTTTCTTTGGCCTCGGGCCTGGTGCCGATGACCTTGTGGACCGTGAGCAAATGGAATTTCTCCGATGGCGCCTCGAGGAAATTTGAACCGGAGTGATCACCTGAGATTCTTGGGGATCACCGCTCGCACCCGCAGGTCCTATGAAACAGCAGTATCGGCCTTTTTCAGTTATCTTCGCGCCCTACGGGGCAGGTTACCAAGAACACTTTTTGAGCTCGACGATGAGCTCGCTGAGTACATCAATCACCTCTACCAGGAAGGGGATTCTGTGAGCCTGGCTGGGTGGACCGTGTCCGGTCTAAAAAGGTTCCACCCTCGCTGCCGCCGCCATCTTCAAACAGCTCAACTTTTTCTCAGAAACTGGCAGCGCGTGCACCTGCCTCAGCGTACCACTCCGCTGTCTTGGCTGGGTGCGAAGGCAATGGCGGCCGCAGCGGCTCAAGTCGGTCGTGATGACCTTGCCATCCTCATCCTGCTCGGCTTTTCTTTCTTTTTGAGGACGATGGAGCTTCTGTCCCTCAACGCCAACCACGTTCGGTTTTTTCCCGAACAAGGGACCATCATCATTGCCGTGATCAACTCGAAAACATCTAAAGGGCTCCAGCAGTCCCTTTCCCTGCACGAGCCTCACCTGGTGAAGGTTCTAGAATTTCTCTGGAACCGGGTTTGCCCCAGCGGCCGGATCTATCAGCGTTCGCCTGTGGTTTTTCGGCGGGAGTTCGCAGCTCTGGTCCGGGCTGTGGGCTTGGAGCCCGCTGATTACCTGCCTTACTCTCTACGGAGAGGTGGAGCAACCGCCTTCTACCAGTCCACGCAGAGTTTAGGCCGAACCATGATCCAAGGCCGCTGGAAAGATCAAACCACGGCAAGGGGTTACATTGACGATGCGAGGGCCACGCTCGTCCAGCTCCTTTTGCCCACCCGCACCACCCAACTGCAGCTCTCCCTGGCTGCCTTTTGGCGGGTGGCTGCGCCAGGTTAGTCTTCCCCTCCTGGGCAAGTTGGCTCTGGGAAAGTTGGTGTTTTGGCAATGGTGGTGCTTCCGTGAAAGTGGGCGCCCAATTCCTCCTACGGGAGAGTCCGCCTACGGGCGAGGTTTTCAGGGACTGTACAGTACCTTTGGGTTACGACCCAGCCTTTGTGTGCAACTAGGCACACCACCAATTTTTCAGCACTCCCAGCTTCTCCGGGGTGTAAAAAGATGGTGAGTCCGTACTGAGAATACCCTCAGTGCGATGTAACGTAGCAGCGCGGAGTGAAGATGCACGCGCCTTTCTCAGTGGCGATTCCGAGATGTGTTTCGGCTCGCCTCCTCGTCCCCTCCTCCGCCCGTGAAAGTGGGCGCCCAATTCCTCCTACGGGAGAGTCCGCCTACGGGCGAGGTTTTCAGGGACTGTACAGTACCTTTGGGTTACGACCCAGCCTTTGTGTGCAACTAGGCACACCACCAACTTTGAGCACTCCCAGCTTCTCCGGGGTGTAAAAAGATGGTGAGTCCGTACTGAGAAATATATATATATATGTATAGACAACCTACGCACATGTATGTATGTATACCAATACATACATTATATAAAAACATGTGCGTACACACTAGTACATGTTTACATACCCAAGACTGCTTACTAAAACAATGTCGCCACTGCTCCTTTCCTGTTCATTGTGTAGGGCAGCCGGCTGTCGTTAACCGCCGGCTTTAGACGTTTCTCGCTGTAAAGCTAGGGTATTAAGCACAGGTGCATCGCCGCGTCAAGCCTAAACGCCAAACCCTTCCACCCCCACTAAATCCTAAACCGTCCGAGCAGAGGACGATTGAAGTGACCTTGTCGAACCTGATTTGCGTCACGGCCGATGAGGAGGGACTCCCCTTGCCGGAGAAAGACAGGTTCAACCAGGCCTGTCGGGCCGGTTCAGGGTCTTGGGGCTTTGGGGTTTAGGGAGTATGAGTAAGGTTCAAGTTTTGGTTTGGGAATTCGGGCTTTTCTGATGTAGGTCTTATGGTTGAGGTTGTAGTGGGCTTCTAGCTGCATAAATCGGCCATGTAGTATGTATGATGCAAGCTGGCATAGACGGGATATCTTGATGGCTGCTGGGCTTGATGAAGCCTCAATGACCTTAAACTCTGAAACCTCAACCCAAATATATCATAACCCCTAAACCCTAAGCCCTCAACGCCAATACACCCCGGAACCCTCAACCCGAAACCCTCCCCTACGCCCTAAAACCTAAACCCTAAACCCTCAGCCAGCTACACAGAGACTCCAATATCCCTTAATTTAGGAAATACTAGGAGGATCCTTCAAGTGAGCTAATACTAAGGTATTCCTTAAATTAAGAGATATTGGAGTCTCTGGGTACCCTAAACCCTAAACCCTATAGATCCCTAAAGGATCCCTTAAAGGAACCCTAGGCCCTAGGTATTCCTCACGAGCCCATGCCAAGCAGCCAGGGGTGGGAGTCCCAAAGGTTGTGCTACGATGGCGCTTCTAGGGTTTAGAGTTTGGGGCTTAACTCCTAGCTACCAGCAAAGGGAACGTACATATATGTATATACATATATATATATATGTATGTATGTACACACATATCTGTACCTATGTATATATGTATGTATGTATGTATGTATGCATGTATGCTGTATGTATGTATGTGAGTTCTTGTCCAGCTGAAAGGGTCGTAGCAGTGAAAAATCCAGATTTCTCACCCCAGCAGCTTGCCTGCTCTCGGTTTGAAGATTCAGTGCTTCGTTTGTTTGCTGTTCAGGATGTTGGAGTTTCACCAGAAAGCACCCATATCTAAACCAAGGCCAACCACCGCGAACTCTAAGCCCTAAGCCTTTAGCGCAACGTCACAAACCCAAGACCTTGAGCCCTGAAGAAAACAAATATATAAGCTTGTTCGCAGGCAGTGAGATCCGCTTATACCCTAAATCCCAAATCCTTATCCCCAAACCCTAAACCCTAAACCTTCCTCCCCACACCCAAAACCCTAAACCTGTATCCCCAAAGCCCTAAGCCATAAACTCAACCCTAAACAAACCTGTATCCCCAAACCCTAAGCCCTAAACCCAAGCCCTAAACCCTAAACCTGTAAACCCTAAACCCTAAGCCCTAAACCCCAACCTTAAACCCTAAACAAACCTGTATCCCCAAAGCCCTAAGCCCTAAACCCAAACCCTGAACCCTAAACCTGTAAATCCCAAACCTTAAACCCTAAACCCTAAACCTGTAAGCCCTAAACCCAAACCCGAAACCCTAAGCCTGCAAGCCCTAAACCCAAACCCGAAACCCTAAACAAAACTGCATCCCCAAACCCAAAGCCCCAAACCCCTGAGCCCTAAACCCTAAACCCAAGCCCTAAACCCTAAACCTGTAAGCCCCAAACCCTAAGCACTAAACCCAAACCCTAAGCCCTAAACCTGTAAACCCTAAGAACCCAAAACCGAAACCCTAAGCCTGTAAGCCCTAAACCCAAACCCGAAACCCTAGACCTGTAAACCCTAAACCCAAGCCCTAAATGCTAAACCCTAAGCCTGTAAACCCTAAAAATCCAAAGCCCCAAACCCCCAAGCCCTGTGAGGAGCTTCCTTGGGTGCCCTGCGACTCGCCGGCTGGTTTTCTCTATGCTTTGCCTCTTGGCTGCCGAAACACGTTTTTTTCTCGGACTTGCTGGTGCCATAGTCGGCGCGCGCTGAATTCAAGCTTGCTATACACCAAGAGAAAAAGGCCGAAACACGTTTTAGGATTGGGGATTTAGGGTTTTAGGGTTTAGGGTTTCAGGGAAGGTATTAGTTCTATGCTTTGTCTCTTGGCTGTCGAAGTGGGAGTTTCCAAACATTCATGTAGGGGTACCTTGTTTGGGGGTGCTAATAACATGGACACTAGTGTTTAGAGTGGCTGTCGAAACACACACCCAACCCTTGATCTTTGTCGTTTTAGGATTTGGGATTTAGGGTTTTAGGGTTTGAGGGTTTAAGGGAAGGTAGGAGTTTCCAAAACTTCGGGGTCCCTTATTTGGGGGTCCAAATAATAAAGACCCTACTATTTAGGGTACTATCTTCGGGTCCCCTTATTCGGAAGCTCCCGGGTTCCAATATGCGGCCATGGGGGCCTCCCGTCTTGATATTTCTGCGCCCTACGGTTGATGATAGAAACCCTGGCATTTCCCATAATGAGGAATATACCATAATTCCCACAGTTTAGGGTCCTTAAGGTAATGCAAGATCTATATCATCAACCATAGGGATCCGTAACTTGCTTATTATACAATCCAAAACACCCAAGACCATGTGTAGCTTAGCTGTTAAGGCTGCTAAGGCCCTGATAAGATTAGATGCCTGTACAGGGAACTCCAGAAAGTTGGAATATGGTTTCAGGGTAGGATACCCTATAATTTACCATAGAAGGGTTAGGATAATCATATTCCAACTTTCTGGCTTCTACTACAAGGCCTTGATAAGATTAGATGCCTGTAAGACCCCAGAATCCGATTGAACATATGAGGGATCCTATTATAATTTAAGGTATATCCCTTAATTAAGGAGTTTTGGTGAACCCTAGGACTGAATCCTGCAACAGCCTTAGAAGCCATCTAAACCTGAACCTCCAAGCCATAGCCTGACCTCTAAAATCCTAATCCCTAGGAGGTAACTCCTTTGAATCCCTTAGGATTCGGGTTTGGGGGTGAAGGGCTTGTGGTAGGCATGATAGGACCGCGGTTCATGATGCATGTAGGAATGACGATGCTGTGTGGCACCGGTGAAACCAGGTGAAGCAGAAGTAGGTGATGATATTGATCGTGAGGATGAGCATATGGACGACGACGAGAGTCACCATGCTGCTGCTGCTGCTGATGATGATGACGATTTCGTTGATGATGATAAAGATGACTTCAACTCTTGTGTCGGGCCAGGACTAGAGCATCAAGCATCATTCTGGCTGCATATTCGCAACGCAGGGCCTCGACCATCTTTGAGGCACATAGGTGTAGATAGCCCGACTCCCGGCATCAACCCTGGACTGGCCTTGAGACTATCCTAATATAGATGCTGCAATAGTTACCGATATTGTTCCGTAGCAATCCTTTGGTGCCTTCAGAAAATGACCCAGAAACCCTATCCCAATTATTGAGGCGCTGATATTGCACCCTAAACTCGGCTCCGGGACAGGTTGTGGATCGCCTTCGTTTTGAATGCCATAATCCTGCCTCTGAGCATACTGCCCCTTGGCAGGACTTGAGGACGTATGGCTGGTTGCCAGAATTATGGTCCCTTTTTCATTCCTTATCATAATACGGGACATAATAGTTTGGGTCCGAAAAAAAGGCCACAATTTTGGCAACTACCCATATGCCAGCCTCCTAAACCCCAAACCTGCATATATTCGCCTCCAGGGACTTCCAGACTGACCCATTTAGTGTTCGAGGGCACTTTCGGGCTTTTTCGGTGTAGGATAAGTGTTTTTGGAGTTTAGGGGGCTTGTGGGTTTAGGGTTTAGGGTTTAGGGTTTAGGGTCATCGTCGTTGCCGTACTAGAGCTTGTATCGGTTGCTGTCGCTGTGGCAGTTGCTTCTACTACTACTCCTACTCCTACTCCCACTCCCACTTTTCCTACTCCTACTCCTACCCCTACCCCTACTTCTACTCCTACCCCTACTCCTACTCCTACGCCGACCCCAACTCCTACACCTACTCCTACTGCGACTGCTACTGCTACTGCTCCTGCTCCTACTGCTGCTGCTGCTTCTACTGCTTCTACTGCTACTACTGCTACTACTGCTACCACTGCTACTACTGCTACTACTGGTACTACTGCTCCTACTGCTACTTTGAAGCTACTTGCAGTAACAGTTGGCATGGTAAAGCTGCCGCCAGGCATCGACACCCACAGCAGAGACAGCAGCCAAAAGGAGTCGTGGCCAACCCCAGACCCTGCACAAAGCGCCTCTGCTAAGGATTCTCGCGCGGTACATGCATCGAGAGGCGGGCGTCAGGAAAGTTTTTGCACATGAATTACAGGTGTCAATGTTGTGACTGCAATTGCGACTCGTTGATTTGGAGGTGAAGGGAATAGTGTTTTGCGGTTCCGGGAGTCTGGGCTCAAAGCCTACCAGTATTAGCTTCGATGAGAAGGGTTCCAGGGTTCTGAGTATGATTAGTGGCCAAGGATTCATTCCAGCGAGAGGCGCGGCTCCTGCTAGCTTGCTATCTATTGGAACCGAACTACTCATCAACCAGCCTTCTTCGTGATTCACTCATCCGCTGCCTCCTGTGCTAACATGCCTCATGCTGTCGCCTGCAATGGGGGTCGGAACAATTGGTTCTGGTATGCCGTTGCAGCCGTCGTAGGGCATAGTACAGCCCAAGACCATGTTCTGACTATCGAGGCTCCTATATTGCATTTCTAGACGGCCCTAAACCCCTAAACCCTAAACCTTGCAAATCCATCCCCAGGAGACTGTAAACCCCAGGTCTCCGGAACCCGAAACTCCGGTTCCGAGAACCCCAAAACGAAAACCTAAAACCCTACTTTAAGGATCATGGGACGTAGTAATTGGAGTTATAAATAAGGCAACTATAGTTATACTTACTTTTTACCCCAATTCAGGTACTTCTAAACCTACTTACTAAGTCCCATGATCCTTTCAGTAAAGCACCCTGACAGTAGCCCTTGCAGCTCCCTTAAAGGAGCCCGTCATCTGAAAAGGGCTCAGGAAGGGCCTACTTGGAGGTTCGTGGCTAGTGATACGTAGGGTTATAAGTAGGGTAACTATACTTATCATCCATATTAAGAAACTTAGAACCTCACTTCTGACTTCCCTAAACCCTAATCCCTTTTTTCCCCCTAAATCACCATAGGACCCTTTAAAGGGACCCTTAAGTGAAGCCCCATAAGCCTACTTAGACCTCCAAGTAACCCAAGGCCCGACCCAAGCATTCCCAGAGACTCCAATATCCCTTACCTTAAATTATACTAGGATCCTTAGTATGATTTAAGGTATATTCCTTAATTAAGGGGTATTCCTTAAATCATAGTAGGATCCTTAATATAATTTAAGGTATATTCCTTAATTAAGGGATATTGGAGTCTCTGGGTTTCAGGTGGAGCCGCTGTGGCTCTGGAGTCGCTGGTTGAAACCCAGCAACCTCTCTTCCAGCGGCCCGGCGTGTTCGGAAAGCAGGGAGGAGTCGGGTCCCTTTGAAGGGAGGCTATGGGGATTCTGTAAGGGTAGAGGGTTTAGGACCTACTTGGAGGTTCATGGGTAGTTCTAAGTAGGGGTATAAGTAGGGTACCTATACTAGGGCTTCTAGAAGGGTTCTATATAAGGGGCCTTAGTAATTGCCTATGCTAGTTTGGGGGTTCCTTATTATAGTTGTAGAACAATGGGCCCCAAAACCCTGTTCTCATTATTAAGGCCCCTACATGACCGCGGTCAGGGCAGGGCTGTGGGCAAGAGTGGATGGTACTAGCAACAACAGCCATAGCAGCCGCAAAAGCAGAGGAAGAAGCAAGTGGTTAGAGCCGCGATCATCATTGGTAGCCCACTCCGTCATGTTTTGTCATGTTCATCCTGATCAGAATCGTTCGTACTAGTTGTCATCATGGTCTTCAGCGTATTGCTCGTCATGTTCTACAACGTCATATCCCAGGTGAAATGCACAAACTCTCGTTCATGAGAAACCTATCATCATGACCATGGCCATCATGATCGGCATCTTCATCTTGGCCTTGACCACCATGATTTCAATCTTCGTCACCACAATCTTCATCACTATCGCCATCATCAGCCAGACATCATGGTCACCATGATCGTCGCGGGTTTCCGCAGCCTTTCTCGTCGAGTTCATCCTCACGGTATCCAGGACCAGAGTCCGTGCCAGCAAACCCCGCAGTACCTCGGCTAGTTACACTGTATTCCCCGCCATTGTTTCCATCATCACTTCCAGTACCGTCAACATGACTCCATCAATATGACCATTAGTGTCGTCGCCGTCGGCAGCAACAACAAGCGAAGGCAAGAGCAGGCACAGCTGAAGCAGGAACAGAGGTGACTGCAGTACCGACGATGAGGTGCATGGGAGTCTCAGAATATCAGGAACCCTGATCTTGACCCTCAACGTAGGATTATTTTTTGCCAAGGACCCTGAGCAAGCTTCCCTATCTTCTTCTGACACCCAATTGAGCTAGGGAAGCGAGACAGTGCAATGAGGGTGAGTGACGGGCAATGCAACAGTACAAATATTACACTGCCTCGTATCTCAACCACAAACCTTAAAGCCCTAAACCCTAATTCAAAACTTTTCGAAGGTCCGATGGTCAACATAGTTCAAAAAACCCGAATTCAACCCTACACTCTCAATCCCAAACCCTCAAACAGTGAAGCCCAAACCTTCAACCCGAAACCCTTAATCCTTATCCCTAAATTCTAAACCGTATATAACCCTCAAAGCCCAACACCCTAAGCCCTAAACCCTAAAGCCTGACCCCTAACCCCCTAACCCCCTAACCCCCAAACCCTAAGCCCCTAAAGTCTTCACAACGCCTAACTCCACCCCCCCCAAAGGCCCTGACGGCTTCACGCTCCGCTGGGACGTGCCGGCTGTGGCGCTCGTGGCCCGCTCTGCCAGCGGACCGGCGCAGGGGCCTCTCAGCGCCTAAGGAGTTTAGGGGTTTAGGGTTTAGGGGTCCTAAGGAATGTAGGGGTTTAGGGTTTAGGGGTTTAGGCGGGTTTAGGGGTTTCGGCGGGTTTAGGGGTTTAGGGTTCAGGGTTTGGGGTTATAGGGCTTAGTCAGGGTGTAGGGTTTAAGGTATTTTAGGGTTAGAGGGTTAAGGGTTCCTTTGAAGGGTTCCTTCAAAGATTCCTGAAGGGTTCCTGGTTACTACAAGGGTATTGGTTACACAAGGGTCACTATAAGGGTAGTATGCGGGTTTAGGGGTTGAGGGTTTAGGATTTCGGGATGGGGCATTTAGGTGTGAGGGTGGCGGGGCTTGAAGTTTGGGGGAGAGTTGACAGATTATGGGTGCAAGTGATGAGTAAGCCTTTGGCAATGAAGTGAGGGAGTGAGTAGGAACTGCAGCCCAATTCAGGGTTTTCTCCTGAATAGGAGTCACTGTTTAAGCTGTGGGGTCTTTTTGTATTAGGACCCCTCAACCTTAAATCCCCAAGCATTCCAGTTGCAGCTCTACATTTCGCGGCCCCTCCTTCGAAACTGATCTGAGACACAAGCGCACCCTGAAGGTTTTGTCTTTTGGGATTTACGGATTGGGGTTTTAGGGTCTGGATGTATTAAAATCCGATGAACACCAATTGGACCAAAGCGACCTCGAACACTCAACACCGGGAGCCGTATCTCACATGCGGACCACTGTCGAGTCGCTGGGTTTTTCGGGTTTAGGGTCACTTCGGTTCCGCTTGTGCCAGAGAGGACCCGGAAGCCGTGTGGAACTCCGAACCCCAGAGACAATGCCCAAAACCGAGTGTCGGTTATCAATGTTGGACTTTACTTTCCGACTTCAGTGTTTCCCCAGAGGGCACGCAGTGCAACGTCAGCAACAACAACAACAAGAAGAACTACAAGAGCAACAATAAAAACATCATCAACAGCATCACCCACCACAACCACAAACCACGCTAGCGGCTGGCAGAACTGATTGCTGTTACTAGTAGTAAGATGGCGATGGCTAACGTGCTTGATCAGCCTAGCACTGAACACCCAGCACCCAAAACCACCTTATGTATTCTGTGATGGAAGCTCAGGGACATCCTTCGACCCGGCACGCAAAGTCCTAGACAGAGAACGCTGCTGGGAGTTTCAAGAGTCACAATCGCTTCCCCTTCACATCCCCGAAAACACGTCAGAAATCCACAAGCTCCAAACCCAGCAAAGGTCTGCAGAGCAGTACACACGGATGCTGCAAAAGTCTTCACAGATCTTCTTAGCGGCGCATGCAGCGTCCGGGCTGATGTTTTCGGTGAGTGAACCTCAAGCTTGCCGCTGTGTCGGCGGTGTTGGGTTTAGAGTTGAGGTTTTATGCTTTGGGTTTTAGGTGTTGAAGTCGAGGCTTTTAAGGCTTGTAAAGAGGGCTTCGAGTGTCGCTTTAGGACTACACACGTCTGGTAGAAGCTTGACTGAGGCAGTATTATCATTGCAGGCAGCCATCGTGCCCGTGTGCATATCATAGGGCGACGGGGTAGTTTCTCTGACCACGCACGAGCGCATCCATACGATGATCGAAGCAAAATGCTAGATGTGTATGCAAGTTCTATAAAATGCTGAGAAATGTTTATGCCTGTAGACTAACTACAGACCCACATGAATATGTGCATCCAACTTTGTGTTTGGAATGATGTAAAATGTACTCATCAATGTACTCACAAATACATAGTTCTTCATACATTTGCGTAGCCCGGGCAGATGTACCTATATGCACAAGCCATGATCAGCGCTCTCCTAGATTCACCATCTCCTCGCTTCGACTCGCAACACATTGGGAGGGGACGAGCAGGAAAATGTGTCCGTATACATGGGTGGTTGTCAAAATTATGGTCCCTTTTTTGGATCCTTGTTATAATACGACACCGACTATTTAGGGTACCCAAAACGGGGCCACAAGTTTGACAACTACCCACACATATATATATATATATATATATACACCTAAAGACATAGATGCATATATGCAAATAAGTAGAAGCAATACACAGGTATACGGAGGCCTGGGGATGTGTGCACCCACTTGCTCCAGTTAGTACTGCACTAGTTCACCTTACACAGCTAGTTTTCGCCTGATATGCATCAGAAGCATATGTCAAGTGTTCCACGTGGCTACATGCCAGATGTAGACATGTTGGCATGTCATTTGAGGTACTGTGCGTGGTCATAATGCAGTACCGTACATGACTATTCAGCTGCACATGCCGTGCCGTAACTTGTTCACTTGATGGATGCGAGTGCATCTTAACGATCATGTGTGCAAACACAGTTTGGCAGCTCTGATTACTAGTGTGCTTGCCGTCTGCGTTCTTTGGCATTTTCAAACGGTGGTTTGTAACTCGTGGTAGCTTCGTCGTATACTGTGTGTCGCCATGTGCCAACATTTTTCAACATTTTCAGTACACATTGCATAAGGACTCATGACATGGGAACATGCGTGGGTTGACCGGTGTAACGTGTTATGCGTCTGCGTCTTTGGTGTCTGATGTGTTAGTTGCTGTGCCCTTTTGCCTCAGACGTGTGTTTCAATGTTGCCTCCATGCCCCTAAACCCTAAACCCCTAACTCCCCGTCTCTTTTTCGTCATCTCATGAGCTCATAAGCTGATGTAAGTATACCTGGAAGTAAGAGTTCTTCCCTCGCAGCCCCAAAGTCAAGAGCTTCTAGCCGCTCCAGAAGCACAGCGACCCAAGCCCTCAAAAACCCCAAGCCTACAGCTTCAACCTCAGCAAATCCCATGCCAAACCTAAATTCTGCAGCATAAGCAATTAGGGCTTCAAGATCCTTATCAAGCTCGAAACCCTAAACCTTACACCACCCCGGAGTATAGAAGTCGGAATAATAGGAAAATACGCCGGTATAGTCCCTACAGAGTGCCCGAGAGCCATATTCCAGCATTAAGGCCCCCTTTTGTTAGAGCCCTGAGGAAGCTCTGTGAGGCCAGATACAATCGTAAAAAAGGGTTTAGGGTTTGGGGTTTGGGGTGTTCTACAATGTTCTACCCATGAAGCAACCCGAAACGCAAAACACCACAAAAAGATTCATTAGATCCCTAAGCCCTAAGCCCTAGACCCCCCAGCTGAGTAAGCAATCGGGAGAGCGCCCTCGAACAACCAAACATAAATCCTAAACCTTAAACCCAAAGCCCCCAAATGGGAGTTTCCGAAAATTAAGGATACCTTAATTTTGGGTCCTTGTATTAAGGATCCTACTATTGGGGGTACTATATTGGGGTCCCCTATTTTCGGAAACCCCCAAATACAGAAGCAGCAAAGGCCTTTCTGTGGGAGTCCATGAGACACCCGCAGCAGCTGGCTACTTGCTTCTTTAGGGTTTTTGGTTTAGAAGAATCAGGGTTTAGGGTTTTAGGGGTTTAGGGTTTATGGTTTAGAAGAATCCTGGGTTGTCCTTTGGGATCTTCTTTAATTTCCCCTACTATTTTGTAGAGAACCATAATAGTAAATAATTTTCAAAGGGCTTAAAGGACAACCAGGAATCAGGGTTTAGGGTTTTAGGGGTTTAGGGTTTTAGGGGTTTAGGGTTAAGGGTTTGGAAGGGTTTGGGGAATTGTTCACCTGAAGGGTTCGCCAACTGGCTCCTTAAAGGTTCCTCAAAGGGATCTAGCTCGGTTTAAGGTTTTGAGGATGAGGTGACTTAGTAAGTAGTCTTTCCAGTGAGGCAGCTATAGTAGTTATATCTATTTGTCACCCCCAATTAAGCCATTGAAAAACGAAGCTTACTAAGTCCCTTAACCTCCAAGGACATTGCTGAGATCGGTGGAAACTTTTAGAAATAGCATTTTAGGGGGAAGTGCCCCATACTCATACCAAGAACTTCCAACAAGCGAAAATCCTGCATGCCGTGACCTGAAAGCTTGAGTTTAAGGGTTAGCAAGTGCAAGCTTCATGGTGAAGTTGTGGCCTTTGGTCTCTCTTGGTGCTCACTGGGCCCGTTCGCAGGCGATTCGCACGAGTTTCCTAAATGCTGGCCTCCCACATGCAGACGCGGCGCAGCAGAACGCGCCCCTTGGTCTTGCCGGTTCGGCAGAGTTAGTTTGCCAGGTCGCTTCTCAGTTTCTCGTTCTTTCCGCCGTCCCGGATTTGTACAGCGAGTAGACAGAGGGTGTGCAGATGTGAGTCAATTAGGATGGCTTCCCACAGCCCGGCGGCTGATGCGCATCCGCTTCAACAAGCTCTCCTGCCCCTTGGTTGTAAGGAGTAGCTCGTAAACCCTAAACCCCTAAACTCTCAACCCCTAAACCCTGAACCCCTAAACTCTCAACCCCTAAACCCTGAACCCTAAACCCTAAACCCCTAAACTGGAAACCCCTAAACCCTGACCCCTAAACCTTTAAACTCGAAACCCCTACACCCCTGACCCCTAAACCCTAGTGCGATGAAGAAGTCAATGCACCAACCAGGTCGCTGTGAACCGCGAGCTCGAGAGGATCTACGACCGTCTCTACCCGGAGGAGATCTCGCGGTAACATACTGAAAGTAAGTTGTGTCCTGAAGTCATCCTGTCCGAAGAGCGGGAGGTCGTATCCTACGTCCAGTGAGGAGATCGGCGCTACACATTCACATGCTGTCCGGGCGATGGCTCGGAGAGTTTGCGCAATGTGGTCGCGAGAACGACCGGGCTCCGCCTGCGTCCAAGCAACAAACAGAACATTCACGGCCAAACCCAGTTCGTACACCACAGTCTTTCCCCTCTCACCGTACTGTGGCAAGGCTTCTCGTACGACCTTTTCGAGCCATGAACTTACTAGCTCGAAAGCCTCAGTTACCGCTTCCCCACGTAAGCGTCACATACACTGCCCCCGAACTCAGGATCGCATCAGGCAGAAGGCTACATCCGTTCTACACGGAGTTGACGAGCCTGCAACTCTCGCCCGTGCACGGGATCCGATTGGCGAGAGCCTCGGGAAAACATCGGGGCGAGGTTGCTCGCCGCATACACGTACCAGCATGTCCATCACAGGTGCATTATGCCCATGAGATCTCCTGAGAGCCGCTGCCGACGCTGCAAGCGATGCGCGCGGCCAGCTCGAAAACGAGCGACTCAGCAAACCAGGACGACATGGCAGAATGAGAGAGAAGGAGAGACAGAGAGAGAGAGAGAGAGAGAGAGAGAGAGAGAGAGAGAGAGAGAAAGAAAAGGAGCCTCTCTCTCTCTCTGAGAGAGAGAGAGAGAGAGAGAGTGAAAGAAAAAAACGAGAACCACGAACCCGCGGAAATGAACGAAGCTCAGAAGTTCGAACAGTTCCAACACTCACGCACGGAATCAGAATAACACGCCGTTCTCCTTCACCACCCCTGGGTAGGGAACAGCTCCAGGGCCTCTCGAACGAGAGGTCAAATGGACAGAGCCACTTGCATGCCTGGAGCCAAGCCCTTTAAGCTCTGAGCGTCAGGAGGGAAGGAAAGGAACTCAGAAGTGAATCTCGGGTTATTGCCAGGTTGATGCAGACGGGGCCGAACTGGAATCACAAGCTAAGGAATGACACCAATTCTAAGTACGGAAAGCTGAACATAACAGTGGAATGAGGCCATGCGCTGCAAAGTGCAGACGTGCAACCGACGTGACTCACCACAAGTGACAGCCTCATCTTGTAAGGCCCTGCCCTAGCGATGCCTGCTCTAACATCCACCAGTCGCACTCTCCAGCGACATTTTAACGACCGCAGTGTACGCAAAGGTTGCCGCGCACCATTGCGTAAGGAAGTAAAACCAGTTCGGACCGACGAGGGTGGGGTTTCCTTGGAAAAGCCATTTGCCGATCGGCCAAAGCCGCGTCCAAGCTTCGAACATGCCACTTACAGGCAGCCACGAGAAGCTTGCAAAAACCCAAAACCCAAAACAGCTGCGATGCACCACCTCTAGGTTATAAGAAGTGCCATGACAATAGCTCACGGTCAGACACACCATCGTGTATGCATGCAACGATTCCTAAAGGACCTCTGACTTTCCAATTGCTGAGCACAAAAAATTGAAGGTAAAGCAAGCCATGTCGACGAAGATCAGGGCCGCACCGACTGCCAAGCAAAGGCCCAACTAGCAGTTCCAGACCGCAGACGGGTCTTCGGCCTCAACCGATACAGGAGCACCTTGCAAATCTCCTTCGTCGATGGAGAAGCAAGGACACTAGAGGCTCGAAATGCACGTCAGGGAAGAGTACCATAAGTACACAAAACACCAAGAGTACAGATCAGGTACACGGCAACACCCACATCAACACGGTGGCGAAGGGCGTCGCTGCCACAAAGTGGGATTCGAGCCAGGGTCTGAAGCGCAACACAGCGCAAGCCACAGTCCTGCAACGACCCTCTCAGGCGCACTGTACAAAAACATCAGTGGCGACCGCCTCCTGCGGGGAGACGAGCGATGCTCGTCCCTACGGCTAGGAGTCACCTTGGTGAGACTGCCGCCGTGGGGCACCCAGTTGCAGTCCTTGAAACGTACATGGCAGCAACCCCAAACACCTGCAAGGCCGATCATTGTCGACAAGCACGTGAACCACGAACAGGAGGAAGAGGAGTCCTTGTCCCGGCCTTAGCTCTCCTTCACCTCCCAGTCGTTACCGAACCCTTCGCAGCTTGCCAGCCAGGTCGTCCGGCTTCTACACGAGCGTGGAAGGGGACCGAGATGTCTTTGTCGAAGACGACTTGCTGACATAGCTCCGTCCGACGTAAAAAGAAACACCAGACTCAGGCATGCGAGCAAGAGCAACCCTCGAAAGCAAACACTTCTGACGGCCAGCAACAACAACGTGATCCATCCGGGTACGGAACAGTGTTGGCGCCTCAATCCGACGAGGTGAGGTGAACAGGGTCACCTCGAAGTCCAACGCCAAGCCGTTTAAGCCCTGAGCGTCAGGCCGCGCAACACACGTCACCACAGACACAACACATCATCCACAGGAGAAGCGAACCTTGAAAATAACAATGTGGAGGGTTGAAATGACAGAGCGAACCGTCAAAGCAAAGGATCTCAAGGATCAACCTACATCGAAGGCAACGCCACTGCCCACAGCTCGCTTTCCTGTGCCTGCTGTTAAACCGTTAGCTTACACCTCAACATCACAATTTCAGATGGTGGACGGCACGGGCTTGAGCACCGCCATTTGACAACGAGGGTACGGCTAGTTTCGCAATAGTGAGGGCGAGGCGTAGGTTGACCAATCGAGGTATGACAGTAGCGTTCTGCGTTCAAGCTTCGCATGTTAGCAAGCGACTGTCCGCAGCCAGCACGCGCAAAAACAAACAGAGACAGACATGAAGCAGCACGGAGTCCACGAATTACGAGCTGAAGTCTCATAGTTTGCGGTCATGGTGCTCGGCAAGTTCGCCAAAACCCCCAAACCCCTGAACCCTAAACCCCTAAACTCGAAACCCTTAAACCCCTGAACCCTAAAACCCTAAACCCCTAAACCCTAAACCCCCAAACCCCTGAACCCTAAACCCTAAACCCCTCAACTCGAAACCCCGAAACCCTAGGCCCTCGCGCGGAAACTCCGAGACCTAACAATCCCAAGACTAAGCCTCAACCCCCCGCAAGTCTTCAACCTTCGACCCCTTGCAATAGTAATTCCTGGATCCTCAATCGGAGTCCAGAGTTTGTAGACTATGTACTACTCACGGTTCTAGATGGGTTTCCGGTTTCGGGTTGAAGTTCGAGCTATGTGAGAAGAAACATCGTACGTAAGCGACTCGGCATGCCTGCTGCTTAAACCGCTCGGTAAGGGCATGCGACAAACATTGATGTTAAGGGGTGTGTGTATGTGTGTGTGTGTGTACTAGGACACCTGCATCCCTGCAATGAGGACCCCGGTGTTAACAAGCTGGCAGATGTCCTCAAATCACGAAACCCTAACATAGAGGCCTTCGTAATTACCTGTTTTTTTGGTGGCAACTTATTATTACCATGGTATAATATCACCCAAAGCTCTATTCTAATTATTGATGCTCTTACATTACAGCCCTAAAGACGAAAGCTTCAAAGCCCTACTCCTAGTTCCTCGGCTGACGAATTTTCAGCCTTTAACCTTCTCCCTTTCATCGTCTGGAGGATCTCGATCACAGTTGATTGAGACATTCCGGGGTAGTGGCAAAGTTCTTACTACATCTCTTGTGAAGCTCGGGGTTCAGAACCAGCTATGCTTTTTATCCGGACGATAAGACCTGAAGTTTTAAGCCGCCCGAATCCCCAACAACCCGTTCAGCTCTAGAACACCCATCACAAAGCCACTCCATCATGCTCCTACAAGCAGTGCCCTCAGCCCAGGGCGGGCTACACACAGGCCATGACCTTGGTGGTGCAGTGCCGCATTCCCGCGCCTGGGATACACCCCTAAACCTTAAACCCTTTGTAATAGCTCGTTGCTTTTGAGCGGTTTCAATTCGGGTAGGCTCAAAGGAGGGATCTTGCCTGCAAAAGTTGGGTCTCGTTATATACCTCTAGTCTCCATGGTTCCTTTTTGGGGTTATCTTGTAGGATCTTGAATATGTAATTGGTTAAACAACAAAACGAACTACAATGGAAACTATAGGTACCATGCTGTTGTCAAGCATGGTGGTAAGATGATTAAAGTCTGGGCCTATGCTTGAGGGTTGTGTCGGCAGTAGTGATAGAGTCATGCTAAGCTCGTTCCGCCTGGTGGTTCAGTCGCGAGCAGCTAAGCAGCTAAAAGACAAACTTGAAACCTTGTGAGGTTGAGTCTTGGGTACTCAGGGTGCACGGGTGAAACAAGGTAGGGGTGGGTGGTTGAGTGGGGGGCGATCGCTGAAAGGCAGGCGCCCTTGCTACTGTTTAGGGTTTGATGATGATGATGTTTTCAGCATTTCAGGGTTTATGCTTACAATTAGGGTCTTTGGGCTGAGGGTTTCGGGATGTAGCCTAAACGTCGTCAAAACCCCTAAGCCCTAAACCCTAAATCCTAAACCCCCAAACCCCTCACCCCCTAAGCCCTAAACCCTAAACCGTTCTTGGAGGTACCTGGTAGTTATAAGTGGGGTTATATAAGTCCCATAATATGGGTTATAAGTATAGTTACCCTACATGTAACCCTACTTATAACTACCTGTGAACCTCCAAGTAGGCCCTAAACCCTATACCCTTGAAGAATCCCTAAAGACCCCTCTGAAGGAACCCCTTAAGGGAACCCGATTCTACTTATTGAGGCCCCTACATTGACGCACGAGCCTGCTGGCTGATCAAAGGGGAAAAGCAAGGACCCTTAATGGGGACCCTACCCTAAAATGGGCTATATAATGGGTATATAATAACTATATTAAGGGTATATACCTAGGGGTCCTTGTTACAGGAATCCTAAACCCTAAACACTTTATAGAACCCTTTCTGATCCCTTAAATACCTAGGGGTCCTTGTTGAGGGTCCCTCCTATAAGTTGAAAGTATATTCCTTAACTGGGAGTTTCCGAAAATAGGGGACCCTTATATAGTACCCTAAATAGTAGGATCCTTGTTAAGGGTCCCTTCTTTGACCCTAAACCCTAAACCCTAAAACCCGAAAACCCTAAACCCTAAACCCTAAACCCTTGGAGCTGAGGATGGCTGGAAGGACTCCCAGGATGCTCGCGAGGCATCCCCAGAAACCCTAGGGTAAAAGCCGGAAAGTTGGAATATGATTATCCTAACCCTTCTATGGTAAATTATAGGGTATCCTACCCTGAAACCATATTCCAACTTTCTGGAGTTCCCTGTAGGTTGATGATATAAATCCCTAGGGCTCCTTTAAAAGGGATCTATAGGGGTACCTTTAAGGGCTTCCTTTAAGGGATCTATAGGGTTTTAGGATTTAGGGTTGATGATATGAATCCTGCATTACCTTAAGGACCCTAGACGATGGGAATTATGGTGTATTCCTTATTATGGGCCATGCAGGATTTATATCAACTACCGTAGGGTTGCGGAACTTTCTTGGAGGCTGGGGTTCCTTTAAGGGTCCCTTTAGAAGGATCTATAGGGATTCTATAAGGGTATAGGGTTGAGGGCCTACGTGGAGGTTCACGGGTAGTTATAAGCAGGGTTACATGTAGGGTAACTATACATATAATAACCCATATTATGGGACTTATAGCCCCACTTATAACTACCCAGGAACCTCCAAGCAGGGTTGTGGAACTCAGATGTTTAAAAAACATCTCGATTGCATGGAATGGAAAGCAGTTGGTGGAACTCCTTGCTTAACAGCTTTAGGGTTTGGGGTTGCAGGGCTTGGGGTTTAGGGATTTGGGGTTTAGGGAACATGGTCTACGGTTCAGAGACCCTGCATGGTCAAGCCCTTGTAAAATCTGCAATCAGTCTGATGCTCCTCCGACCGGGACTAACGCTATTCTCCACTAAACTCCAAAACCTCACACCCGTAAGCCCAGATACCCCTCAACTCCGAAATCTCTAAGCCCGAAACGCCGAGACACAGAAACCCGAAACCCCAAACCCCGAAACCCTAAACAAAAACCCTTAACCTCCAAAGCCCCAAACCCCTAAACCCTAAGACTCAAAACCCCGAAACCCAAAACCCCGAAACCCCGAAATCCCTAAACCCTAAACCCTAAACCTTAAACCCCTAAACCCTAAACCCTAAACCCTAAACCCTAAACCCGAAACCCGAAGCCCGAAACCCCCCGAAATCCGGCTCCAGGCAGCTCTGCGCAGCGTGCGCCCAGAAGCCATGGCCTTGGGTGAGATGCTCCTGCTCCTTGGGAGCAACCCAGTAGGACTCCTTTATAGAGTTTAGGATTTAAGGTTTAGGGTTTAGGGGTTAGGGTTTAGGGTGTAGGGTTTAGGGGTTAGGGGTTTAGGGTTTAGGATTTAAGGTTTAGGGTTTAGGGTTTAGGGGTTAAGGTTTAGGGTTTAGGGTGTAGGATTTAAGGTTTACGGTTTAGGGTTTAGGGTTTAAGGTGAATATAGGGTTCCAAAGAGAGGGTCCGGAGGACCCAGTAATTCTGCACCCGGTTTTAGGATAGTGTTTTAGTAAGTCAGGGTTTTGTAGACTGTATGGGAGTTTCCGAAAGTAGGGGACTCTAAGGTAGTACCCTGAATAGTGGGATCTTATTATGGGCGCTCCCAAAGGAGGTTCCCCTATTTTTCCGGAACTCTAAACCCTAAACCCTATACCCTATAGATCCCCTATACCTACCTTTAAATGAACCCTTATAGATCCCTTTACAGGAACCCCTACCCCTTTTTCGCAAACTCCCATATGAGTACTAGGCTAGGTACTTGCACCCCTGTGCTTTGGGAGCAGCCAAACATGGGCTCCTTTAAGGGTGCTAGTAGGGTTCCTTTTACGGCTACTATAGGGTTTAGGTTGTAGGGGTTGTCGTAGGGGCTTCTATAGCAGGCTTCGAGTTAAGGGGTTCCGGTTTCAATCGTAGAAAGAAACTAAACCCCTGAACCACCAAGATTCCCAAGCCCTTGAACCTTAAAACACAGCAACCCTTCAGGTGTCGCCTTTACAGGGTTTTAGGGTTGCTGGTTTAGGGTTTAGTGTTTATGGTTTAGGGTTTTCGGGACTTTAAGATTTGTGGTTTGAGGTTCACGGGTTTAGGCTGCAGTGGTCAGGGTTTTAAAGTTGAGGGTGTAGGCTTTAAGGATTAGGGTTTAAGAATTAGGTTCTACGCTTTAGTGAATAGGGTTTAGGATTTAGGGTTGAAGGTCTAGCAACCGAATGAACCCCTACCTAGATCGCAAATAACCCACCCATAATATGATTTCTGCGTATAAGTCCTTAAAACGGTAGGTCATTCAAGGTCTAGGACAATTAAATTCTGCAGCCATACCAAGACAGCCTTGATTTGCAGGTATCGCGAGGCTTCGAAACGGGCTTTGAAGGCCCTGGGCGCCAAGCCGCTGTGGATCGGAGCGCGCCACTGGGCCCAGAGTGGTCCTGGGATTTGGGAATTTTGGGGTTAAGGGTTTAGGGTTTGGGACCTGGCTCCTACAGGGTTTAGGCTGGCATCCATTCATTTAGGTTTGGGACTTAGCCCCTTTTGGGGCTTACACTAGCTTCAAGGAGTTTGGGTTTGGGACTTAGCTCCCATAGGGTTTAGGCTGGGCTTCTAAACCCTAAACCCAGGCTGCGAGGTTTAAGCGGTTCCATGGTTGAGGGGCTTCAGGCTGCTTGAGGGGCTCGTTTAGTGTGCTAGGATGCCCAGTAGTACCCTTATTCCCTTTTTGTAGTCCTAGGTTCCTTATAAAGTTACCCAATACCAAAAAGAGAGGCCTTTTTATTCTTAGGTTACTGGGTATCCTAGTGTGTTTAGGAACTTTCGGGCTCAGGGACTGGGTTGCAGCGTTTGGGGTCAGGGCTTTAGGTTTCGCTGCGGGTCTGGCGTTGGACAGTTAGGCGCTGTACTTGGAGGGTCGGGGCACTTAGTAAGTAGGTAGCAAGTAGACTTATAAGTACCTTAAAAGGGATCCTAATTGGGGTTATGGTACTTATAAGTCCCTAAAATAACCAGTTACTAAGTCCCCCGACCCTCCAAGTAGGTTGGAAAGTTGCAGGTTTGGGGCTTATGGTCAGTTCGATCTTGCTCTTTCGCGGCACAAGGCCGTACGAATGTGTGCGTGCAAAAGGTGTTGCTTTAGCGTCCGGCTCAATTCAATCGCAAGCCCGCCACGCGTGTATTTGGAGACCCGTGCAGGAAGCGTCCCACCCACCCGCAGCCCGATTACTATAGCCGCCGTAACAATTACCAATACTGTTTTGGGGGTTCCTTAGCATAATGATCGTATAATGGGCCCCAGAACCCTTTTCTAATTATTGAGGCCCCTATATAAAGCAGCGGGCCTTAAGCTGGGTTCCCTTTAAGCAGCGGTGCTGGTAGGACGAAAAGTAGCTGTGCTAAGAATTATCAGTTGCAGCTACCTTGTGAACAACAAGAGTGCTGGCGCTCATGATGGTATGCACAAGGACATCCATGACATCAGTCTTCACAGCATTTTCCAGCGATGGCACATACACTTGCAAGACTCGCAGTGGTATCAATTACCAGTTATCTGCTATCAATCTTCACGTTAAAGAAACTCGCCGATCATGGTTTGGCAAACCGTGTCTCCATCGGCAAGACAGCGAGGGGACTGGGAAGGAGGTAAAATGGTTGTGCTGCTGATGACGATGGCGATGATCCTGACGCTGGGCGCTATTGAGATACTGGCGACGATGATGTTGATGATGATAGCTATGACAGGGATATGACCATGACGATGAACTTGATCCTGCGATGATTTCCTTTCGTTTGTCCGGAAGCATGTTCCAAATCTTCTCACCTCGTCGCAAGTGACACAAGTAAGGTGGCAGATGTCATGATGTTACGTAAGTCGGAAGTGCCACAGGCAACCATCAGTGGAATTTCCACAAGCCAGCAGTAAGCACATCGGAAGTAGATGACATTGCAGAGACTAACACCACAGACATCCAGTCAACTGCCATCAACCCTTCATCCTGAATCCTAAAGCTCGGCATAGCTCGGCTTCCGAGAAGCCCCGCTTAGGCGCCTCCTTCGAGAAGTTTTCCGGGACGGACCCCCTCCTGTTCGTAGGCGGAAAACGGGGCACGGCGTTGAGCGTCAAGGGGCTGTTGGTTTGCGTAGGGCTCAGGGTTATGGGTCTGGGTTTGGGGTGGAGGGTTCAGGGTTTGGTTGTTGCTTGAGTTGGAGGTTGGGGATTCGGATTCAGGGCTCTGGGGGGCTTAATAAATATTCCTTTGGGGTTCCTGTTTCTTCAAACAGATAGTGAGTGCGCTGTATCCTGTATCCTATTCTGCACCCAACCAACCCGGACCCCCCCCCCCCCCACCCCCACATTACTTTGCTGAGGCCTCCCTCACTGACCTCTGAATGGGCCTTCCTAATTTGAAACGCTTCGCATCTTCCGCCTCGGCCCGGCTTTTCGCGCATGCGGCGACTGGCTACCATCCGGCGCAGCAGGAAGCTCTTGTACGAAAATAACAGCAGTTGGAATCGCACTTGTATTAATTGTAGGGCAGGGCAAAGCAGGGCAGAGCAGCGTAAGGCAGAGGGCTTGTCTCAAGAAGCCCAGCAAGAGGTTGATGTGACCATTGTAGCATCTCCGCGTTCTGTGCCTGATATTCGACATAGCCCCTAGCTGGCGATAGCGATGCTTGAATCTCCGATGCTATGAGAAGGTTAGGTCGTGGAGCCGCGTGCTGTGCTGCCCAAAGCAACGCTATTTCCGAACTTTGCCTAGGGGGGAGCGGGGGGGGGCGGGGGGGGCGCAGGGGGGGGGGGAGCGTGGGCGTGTGGGGTGGGGGCGAAAAGGAGGAAATTGGGTGGGACTGCCTACAGCCAAAATCTAGTGGAGGAGGTGAGAATTCACCACCGGACCTTGGGGCTGATCGACACGTTTCCACGCGAATTTTGGGGTCACTGGGGAGGGGATTAAGAGGTGGGGAATAGAGGGATCCGAATAGGAACCTCTGACCGCTTCGGCCAGGGCCGAGGCGAATTAATTATGAATTCGAAGGAACAGGGTTTTGTGGTTTGGGATTCTGTGATCCTGTAGCTACGCAGGCCATGTGGGGTAGTAACAGAATCCGATCCGAGCCCAAGAGCACAAGCCGCTAAGCCCTGAGGTGGAGCCCTCCAGACCTTTGTGTTCCTGTGTTCGCTGTAGAGCCGACCTCACATCTCCGGGTTTTCTATGTTAAGGGCACCACGTGTGGTTTTTGCATATGAAGTAGGAGTTTTTCCTGGAAGAGGCGGGGGGGCTAAACCCTAAACCCTATTAAGTCTTAGTATTATGTAACATCTTTTCTTGGAAGAGGCGGGGGGGGGGGGCTCCTAAGTATCCCCATGTCACGGGCCTCCGTTCCTAGACCCCAACTACCCTCTAACAGACCCCCAAATACCTACTACTAGGACCCAGAGTAGGCCATTATTCCCTTTTTTACGGTTTTTGTTCCCCTTATAACATCCTTCAAGCCAAAAAGGGCACCGTTTATTTTCCTAGGTTACTCTTAGGTCTAGACTATTAAGGGCCACTAGGGCTACATTAAAGGGCTATTCGGGGGGTCCTGGTTGTTTGCTCGTTTTCAGGATCGTTTCACATCGAAGTGTCGAAGATGGCAGTCTCAGGAGAGGTTCCAGACCTTAGACCCTAAACCCAAACCCATCCAGAGAAGGGATGAAAGCGCCACCCCAACCCTAGCACTGTAGGCAAGAGGAGCCCGAGTATTTACGTAGTGATTCAGTCCTGCGAGGTTTCTTTTGACATATTTTTTAGGGTTTGGGGTTTAAAGTTTAGGGTATACAGTTGTAGTATGGCATCCCCAAGACCATCTTCCAAAGTATTGATCGCCCTGAACTCTGAGTCGCGGGCAGGATTCAGGGTAGGGTCTGGGGGTTGAAGGTGTAAGCTTCACTCTACCTTAAACTAGCAGGTTCTTATTATAAACCCTAATATGGAATTTATAGGGACCCTACAAAAAAGTAGGTTTTGGTAGGTTAAGGTACTCTACTCTCAGTATTGCATAGTGACCTGTACCCCAAAACCGTACACCACGCCGTATTAACATTAAGGCCTTGATGTTACACCCTCGCCCCAAAGCCCCGAAGCGGTATCAGGGATCAACAAGCTCGTGTTCTTTGCCATTGCCGGCCTCTGCGTCAACAAAAACTTAGTGGCTCAATCTGCAGTCAGCGGCCCCAAACCCTGAACCTTACGCCCTATACTTATGGTAGAAGCTAGAAAGTTGGAACATCATTATCCTCGTGTCCTTAAGGTAAAGTATTAGGGATCCTAGCGCTAATCCTCCTGAAGCCATGTTCCAACTTTCTGGCTTCTACTGTAAAGGCAGTTCATGGTTCAGGGCTTCAGGCTTTGCAGTAAAGTAAAAGCCAGAAAGTTGGAATATGATTATCCTAAACCCTTTATGGTAAACTATAAGGTATCCTACCCTGAAACCATATTCCAACTTTCTGGAGTTCCCTTTAGGAGGTTACGCCTTGCAATGTCGAATCTTGAAGGACCTGTCTGAGCTTTAACTTCGAGCTTCCGATGTTGTAGGAGGGTTCAGGGTTTAGGGTTAGGGGGTTTAGGGTTTAGGTTCATTCCTAAATGCTAAGCCGTAAACCCTAAGAATCCTGGCGGAATCAGCGACATGGATCTTGAGAGGGTGTTCCAACAGATGCGGTAAGCCACGGGCAAAACCCGAACAGACAGTCAAGGTTTTCTTTGTTCGGGATGGCCCCGCCCTGGATCCTGGACGACTGTTTGTGAGATGATTCCGGTTCTTATCGGCCTTCTCTTGACACGACCGCTATCATTCTGTCGTATACATAGCCCTAAACCTTGAACCCTATATGGGTGGTTGTCAAACTATGGCCCCTTTTTGGGTACCCTGATTTTTTGGGTGCCGTATTATAAGGAGGACCCGAAAAGGGACCCTAATTTTGACAACGCATATGTTATCGACCTTGCTCTGGCTCTTGTAGCCTATGGCATCCCTCTTTCGGAGCCGACTCATTTCGATCCATGGGATCCCCGTCCGATTGTGCTGTCATCGTCACGGTCGTTAAAGGTTTGGGGTTTGGGGTTTGGGGCTTCGGGTTAGGGTCCCCAGATTTAGGGTCTAGGGTTAGGGAATCCAAAAAAGCAGAATGCATGTCTCGCGAGGAAGGATCCATATGGAGAGGTTTTGTCATCAAAAGCAGCCACATAGCACGGAGCCCGAAATTAACAGTCATACTGTCCCTTCGAGTTCCTTATTTCATTCTAACGTAGTGCCCCATATCCCGATTCTACTTATTTCGGCCACCTTTAAATTATTACACTCCAGTCAAAGGATCCCCCACTTTGAGAGTGCCCTTCACAGGGGCCCTAAGCCCTAAACGGCTCTGAGCTGCGTTATAAGACCTCGCAACACCCTATAACGCCCTCTGAGCCTTAACCCTAAGCCTTAAAACCCTAGCCCCTAAACCCTAAACCGCAGTTGGAACAGGGCTCATTTACACAACCACCTAATCTAAGACCCTTCCTGAATTCATCGAAGCACGGCAAGCTAACGAAGCATGAGTCCTCACGCCACAAGCCCAGTTCCTGGGCGTTGGGCTTGCGGTTTAGAATTTGGGGTTTAGGGTTTAGGGGTTTCTGGTTAAATGACCTTAATAATACTTTCCATGGGGCTTCGGTGTTGCTATGCCATATCTATGGTTGCTATAAGGGGTGTGCCAATTACAATCAGTCCGACCCGTTTTTGACCCTATGGGGTTCGAGGGAACTTCCCAGAGACTCCAATATCCCTTAATTAAGGAATACTCCTTAAATTATAGTAGGATCCCTTATATGATTTAGGGTATATTCCTTAATTAAGGGATATTGGAGTCTCTGGGTTCCCATGGGGCAACTCGCAGGCAGCTGTGGTCATTTCCTTCCTGCTCCTCACCATCGGTACGGGCCCTGGTGGCAGCTATCTTACCCACCGAACTCCAAGCCCTAAACCTCAAAACCCGAACCTTGCAACTCTAAGCTAAAAACCCAGATTCTGGTTGTAGGGCCTACTATTAATGGGCATTCCTACGGGCTAGTCCCTTGTATCACCTTCCAACCTCGTGCCTGCGTGTCATCCTGAGTCATCCATCCATCCCTCCCTCCCTCCATCCATCCATCCATCCATCCATCCGTATGCACATACATACATATACACGCAACTATATACATATATAAATAGATAGATAGATACACAGGCGTGCATAAATACATGGAAATAAAGACCGCGAGCCATAAACATTATCTGCATACATATATATATATATATACACATACATACACATGTGTATGTGTGTATGTGTGTGTGTGTGCATGTATGTATGTATATATGTAGGTAGGTAGGTAGGTAGGTAGGGGTGTGTGTATGAGTGTATGTATATGTGTATGTACCTGTATATGTACATGCAGTATAATATGCTATGAAGTATCTGTCTAAACATATTACCGAACTTCAGCTCTTGAGCAGCAGCTCACTCTGCCATGACGGACATTGGCCCCACAGCTTCTTCCCACCAGGCGTCTCTCGTGGCGACCCACATGGTACACGCTCCCGCAATGCTCTGGGCTTCGTGTGTTGCGCCATGGCTTTGCTAATGGGCTCGTGCTTCCCGATGTGTTTTAAGCTTTGTCCGGTATATCAACCCATGCTGATTTGGTCTAGGGTTTTGTATGCAACCTTGATCCTACCGTAATGTCTGATAGTTTTAGATCCCCAGTGAGTCACAAGTTTGGTTCGATTTTTTTTTTGTTTCTCTTCCTGGTTGCGGAAGTCACATAAACATCACCACCATCAGTAGCATCATTAACAGCAACGCCAGACAGCGACGACGACCGCAACCACCACCACACCACCACACCACCACACCACCACACACCACACCACCACACCACCACACCACCACACCACCACACCACCACACCACCACACCACCACACCACCACACCACACACCACACACCACCACCACCACACCACCACACCACCACACCACCACACCACCACACCACCACACCACCACACCACCACACCACCACACCACCACACCACCACACCACCACACCACCACACCACCACACCACCACACCACCACACCACCACACCACCACACCACCACACCACCACACCACCACACCACACGACACCACCACACCACCCCTGCCACCGCCGCCACCGCCGCCACCGCCGCCGCCACCGCCGCTGGTTCTCCCAAGCCTCTTGACAGCCGCCTGTTAACTGACGGCCGTTTCGGAGTTGTTTTGCATCGCGACACTTCCTACAGATTTCATAAACGAGTCTTCTTCATCCTAGACCCTCTTGAACCCCAAACCCTAGTCACCCCGCTGGAGCCCTAGTTCCTAAACCCTTTTGAACCCTCAGCCTTAAGCCCTCCTGAACTATACTAGGTAGGGCTTTGGGACATTTTGTATTTTCCCTTATGGGGTTTAAGAGGATCTTATTTACTGAAATTGTTCAAAGGCTTTAGAAGCCCCACCTAGTAAAGCTTCGATCGAGAGGCCTCTCCTTGACCCTAACCGGCTCTGAAGCCATGGAGCCCAAAGCCCCGAATCCTAAACCCTAAGCCCTAAACAACCCTAAGCCCGTATAGAGCCCTTAAAGTATCCCCCAAAAAGGACCCTAAAGCCCTGACGCGCCCGAAATGTCGAAAGCTTCAAGGTCTCTTCTTGACTGTCTACTCCTGCCTCCTCCTCCTCTTCGAAGACTTTGCCTTGAGTTCGATCTCACAGGCCCACTTGGAGGTTCATGGGTAGCTATAAGTGGGGTTATAAGGCTTCCTTTAAGGGTCCCTTTAAAAGGGTCCTACGGAGATTTAGGGTTTAGGGATGAGGGCTTAGTTGGGGTAGTGGGGTTATAAGTCCCTTAAAATGGGTTACAAGTCTAGTTACCCTACTTATAGCCCTACTTATGACTAGCCAGGAACCTCCAAGCAGGGAGACTCTCACGGCTCCACTTTGTAAGGAACCGATAAAGGTCCCTTTTGGGCATCCCACGAAGGTCCCTGAAAGGAAGTCTGGTTATTTTAGGGACTTATAAGTACCATAACCCCAATTAGGGTCCCTTTTAGGGTCCTTATAAGTCTACTTGCTACCTACTAAGTCCCCTAAAGACCCTCCAAGTAAAGGTCCCTTAGAGCAGCCCGTAAAGGTCCCTTACGGGACGCCTGGTTCCTGGGGTTTGGAGTTCACGGTTCTGACGGGTCCAGCGCTGCTTCGGTGGGTAGGGCATGCTGGAACAAGAAAACCCTAAACTACCCTGGCCCTAAACCCTAAACCCTGAACTTCCACACTCCTCCTGGGGAGCTCTTATCGGAGGCTTACGGCTCAGAGGCTATTCTTGGTCCGAGGGCTCAGGAGATCTATACTCGTTCAGGGTTAAGGGTTTAGGATTACCTAACTAGACCCTAAAATCTAAGCCCGAAACCATAAACCCTAAAGCCTAAACCCTACACCCTAATCCCTCAACCCTAGCCTTAAGTCTTGCGACTATGGGACTTGGCATGTCCCAGCTGCGGGGTCAAGTATCAGCCGTTCCGGGCTGCTTGGGTTTCTGGTCAAGTTAGAGTTTAGGATGAAGCGTTTGAGCTTCGGGGGTTGACATCCAGGCTTTGGGTTCAGAGCTTTTTCACTCGAAGTTTGAGAACATCGTGCAACGCCCTAAGGTTCAGCAGCCTTAGCTTATAACCCTCGAGACCCTACTGTACATTCCCATGTCCAACCCCCGTGAGAACCACCTCAACCGAAACGCCCCAAGCCGTGAACGTCCTGTAACCTTGAGCATGCGTAGACTCTCAGAAGACAGGAGGTTTGTTTTCCTGACTTTAGGGTTAAGGGGTTTAGGGTTAGTGGAGTAGCTCTGCTGCGACAGCGGCGACAACAGAAGCTGTTTCTCCCTAAACCCTAAACCATCCTACACCCCAAACCGCCGGAACCACCAACAATAGTTTCAATTGAAAGGCCGCCGTGGTGGCAGGGCCGACTTGCCACTTGTCCAAGATGGAGGTTCAGGGGATCTATGGTTTAGGGTGTAGGGGTTTGAGGCGTAGGAATAGTTACCAACACTGTTCTTCCAGGATTCCTTTTGACGGTTCCCTTAAAGGGTTCTCTTTAAGGGTTCCCTTCAAGGGTTCCCTTGAGTCCCTCAAGGGTTCCCTTAAAGGGTTCCCCAAAGGGTCCTAGGCTTCCTTTGGTAGGGTTCAAGGTGTGGGGGGTTTTCAGAGCTTCAGGAGCTATCTGCTGCTCCAGCTTTCCCTAGCGACGACTACGACAGCCAGATTTATTATTGTGAGTATTGTAATTATGATTGTTACTGCTACCTCTACTACCTCCACTACCTCTACTACCTCCGCTACTGCTACTGCTACTGCTACTGCTACTGCTACTGCTACTACTACTACTACTACCACCACTGCTACTACTACTACTACTACTACCACTACCACTACCACTACTACTACTACTACTACTACTACTACTACTACTACTACTACTACTACTACTACTACTACTTCTACTGCTACTACTGCTACTACCACTACTGCTGCTACTACTACTACTGCTACTACTACTACTACTACTACTACTACTACTACTACTACCACTACTACTTCTACTACCACCACCACCACCACCGCGACGACGACTGTCGTCGTCGTATTCGTAGTACGAGCAGTATAAATAGGCCGTCTAAAGATTTAAAAACAGTGGGCCCTAGTCCCCTAAACCGTTGGAGGCTACTACTTGCACCTCCAGCTCATGCCGGCAGATTTGACAATAGAAGCGTACAGCCTCCTTGCACGCCTGCAGGTCAGCTTAGGAGCTTGGGGTTTAGGGCTTTAAAGGGGTCTATAAGGGTTACTTGGTTTAGTATAGGGTCCTTAATTAATTACCTATACTAGTTTGGTGGGTTCCTTTCTTTCCTCATAGTATCATGGCCCCCAAAACCCTGTTCGAATTATTATGGCCCCTACATTGTACCCTTATAGCCTTTATGGATCCCTTTAAACGAGCCCTATTTCAAATTATTAAGGCCCCTACATTAGGATGGCTTAGGGTTTACGAGCTTTTCTGGGATGTCTGACATTAGGGTTTAGGTTTTAGGGTTTAATCCGAGGCTTTAGGATTTCGCGGTTTTCGGATCACGGCTCCGTGTTGTAGGGCTTTTCCGGCAAATCCCGACTCCAAGGGCCTGAAGGGATTAAAGTAGATGCCAGAAAGTTGGAACATGACTTTAGGAGGATTAGTGCTAGGATCCCTTATACTTTACCTTAAGGGCATGAGGGCAATGATGTTCCAACTTTTTGGCTTCTACTGTAAGTAGCCATAGAAATGTTTACGCCCTGTGCATGCCACGGTTAGTTCTCGAAGTCAGGCAACACCAAGCGTTGAATCACCTAAATCGTGAAGGTTGAAACTGCGCAATGTAGGCACGTCAGTTTTAGGAGTTTCCTGATTAGAGTCATCGGATACTAAACACCAAAATCCTATTCTAATATTTTTCTCCAAAGGCCGTGAGTATCATCGATGCGACGAGTCAATCTTTTGAGGTGACTGGCGGATCTAATGATTATCATAGGCACCCTTACGGGGGTAAGGGGGAGAATAGGCCGTATTACTAGGTCGTTATTATGGACATTAAGGTCCCCTAAGGGACTATGAGATTACGTTGTCTAAAGCAACCCTAGGGGTGAAAGTGCAACTTCAACCAGTCGATCGGACAACCACACATTGTCTGAGCTGCCACACATTGTCTGAGCTGACTTTGTTGGGGAAGGTGGCCGAAGCCTTCCCAAAACTAAAAGAGCTCTCTCACTGACACTGTCGTTGTCAAGTCTACATCACTTGGGCATAGGGTTTTGGGGGTATACTCTACTATAAGCATAATAAGCTACCCCCCCCCCAAAAAAAAACACACACACACACAACAACCCTATTCTAATAATCTAATTATTAAGGCCCCTGCAGTAGACTTCCCCAGCCCAGCCCCGGCCCCCCAGCCCGAGACATCGACGGCAACGTTCGAACGAACAGGGACCCTTGGGGGGGGGGTAGGGGGCCTTAATGCCCATAATATGGACCTCATAAGGCCTATTTAAGGAAGTATAGTCCCTGTCAAATCTCTTCGCCCAAACCTTGGCTCACAACGTTTCGCTCTGAGCTTATCTGCACCCAACCTCTTAACAGTTATAGAGCTATAGACCGTTTCCAAACCCTAAACCCTACCCTAAACCCTAAGCCGTAAGCCCTGAACCCTAAACCCTAAACTCCTAAACTCCAAGCCGTAAGCCCTGAACCCTAAACCTTAAACTCCTAAACTCCAAACCCCTAAACTCCTAAACTCCTAAACTCCAAACCCTAAACCACCAAAACCCTAAACCCTAAACTCCAAACCCCCAAACCCTAAACCCCTAAACCCTGCAGCTCATGAAGGGCCTCGACCCGGCGAAGGAGGCCACGCCGGAGTCGCCAACCATTCCGACAGTGGAGGACTAGATTGGGGCTTAGGGTCGAGGCCAGTCTAGGGCTTGGGGTTTTACAGGGTTTGGGGTTTAGGGCTTGGGGTTTTATAGGGTTTAGGGTTTAGGGCTTGGGGTTTTGTAGGGTTTGGGGTTTAGGGCTTGGGGTTTTGTAGGGTTTGGGGTTTAGGGCTTGGGGTTTAGGGTTTGGGGTTTAGGGCTTGGGGTTTTATAGGGTTTGGGGTTTAGGGCTTGGGGTTTTATAGGGTTTGGGGTTTAGGGCTTGGGGTTTTATAGGGTTTGGGGTTTAGGGCTTGGGGTTTTGTAGGGTTTGGGGTTTAGGGCTTGGGGTTTTGTAGGGTTTGGGGTTTAGGGTTTAGGGCTTGGGGTTTTGTAGGGTTTGGGGTTTAGGGTTTAGGGCTTGGGGTTTTGTAGGGTTTGGGGTTTAGGGTTTAGGGCTTGGGGTTTTATAGGGTTTGGGGTTTAGGGTTTAGGGCTTGGGGTTTTGTAGGGTTTGGGGTTTGTGGTTTCCGGGCGTTTTTGACTTTATGGGTCTGGGAGACTGAGGGTTGAAGTGGTCTGAGGGCTTTGGCTCCGCCTGTTTGGCAGTTCAGGGCTTCAGGGTTTTTGGCTTTCTAGGGATTGAGGGTTTGGGTTCAGGGTTTGGGGCTAGGTCAGAGTCGGATAGAAGTGCATAGATACTGGGATTTCGCAGCTTTGGCTTCGGGTCTCAGGGTTTCACGTCTAACTCGATTCACTGTTCTGAGACTTGTTGTCCTCCTGCGTTTGGGGTTGATTCTTCGCAGGGAATCTTTAAATCACAATCAAACTCGACTCATCGCGTGTCGTTCAGGAGCAGACTGAACCCTAAACCGAAAACCCACGTCCTTGATGCCAACTGCGCGGCTCTTATTGCTAAGGTTCATGACTTGCGCTACTAGTCACTAGTCACCGCAGCACATCAACCTAAACCTTTGAGACAACGCCCGAATCCAGCCCGAAACCTTCAACCGATCTCAAAACACAGCCTTCATCCCTGACTCGAAACCTTAACCTGAGCTGTATTGGAGGTTCATGGGTAGCTACAAGTAGGGTTATAAGTGGGGTGACTATACTTCTAACCCACATTCAGGGACTTATAACCCCACTTATAACTACCCATGAACCTCCAAATAGGCCCGAAACCCGACACCCTGATAGAATCCCTATAGATACCTTTAAAGGGACCCTTAAAGGAACCCTTATAATTACCCATTAACCTCCAAGTAAACCCGTTGATATTTTGGGAGGTTCAGACAAACAGGGAGATCGGAGCCGAATCTGAGTAGTCGGTTCTTCTAGATGGGAGTTTCCGAAAATTAGGGGTAGGGGTTCCTTTAAAGGAGTCTATAAGGGTTCCTTCAAGGGTGGGTACAGGGGATCTATAGGGTATGTCTCCAGCTGCCGGAAGCCATAGCACCGTGCATAAATCTTGTCAAAGCCTTTACTGCAGGAATTTCATAAACCCCTCTTAAACGATCTGTAGAACCCTCCAAGCCCCTTATGAAGGCTGGCAAACTGCTCGCCAAACCTATGTAAGACCCCCCTTCAAGCCTCACAAAAACTCATAACAACACCGTGAACGTATTAAGCTCACCTAAGCAGTTTAAACTCAGCGCCAGCAAGCCCCCCCCAAAAAAAACCACTAAATCCTCCAAAGCCTTTAACCCCACTCCCCGCCCCAACCCCGAAGCCTGAAGATAAGCCCTAAACCCCGGAACCCTGAACCCTAGACGCCAAACCCTATACCCTAGACCCTGGAGGCCAAACCCTAAACCCTATAAGCCCTTTAAACCCCCTTTAAACCCTCCAAACCCTCTGAGCCCTAAACCCTACTTGGAGGGTCGGGGGACTTAGTAAGTAGGTAGTAAGTAGACTTATAAGTACCCTAAAAGGGACCCTAATTAGGGTTATGGTACTCATAAGTCCCTAAAATAACCAGTTACTAAGTCCCCTAAACCCTAAACCCTAAACCTAAATCCTAAACCCTTACAGAATCCCTATAGATCCTTTTAAAGGGGCCCTTAGGGAACCCCTAAACCCTAAACCCTAAACCTAAATCCTAAACCCTTACAGAATCCCTATAGATCCTTTTAAAGGGGCCCTTAGGGAACCCCTAAACCCTAAACCCTAAACCTAAATCCTAAACCCTTACAGAATCCCTATAGATCCCTTTAAAGGGGCCCTTAGGGAACCCTTAAACCCTAAACCCTAAACCTAAATCCTAAACCCTTACAGAATCCCTATAGATCCCTTTAAAGGGGCCCTTAGGGAACCCTTAAACCCTAAACTTCAATAAACCAGGAGAGGACCGTCTCGATGGTTCCCCGGGCCAAATGGAGCTGGGAAGAGCACCGCTTTCTGAGGCTTTCCGGTGACTCTGGGATCCCTTATGGCTCCCTTTAAGGGAACCCCTAAATCCTTATGGGATACTTATACCCCCTAAGGGTCCCTATGAAACATATACCGTAAATCATATTCGGGATCCTACTATAATTAAGGTATATTCCTTAATTTAGGGATATTGGAGTCTCTGGGAGGGTTTAGGGCTTACTGTTTAGGGGTTCAGCGGTTCAGGGCTTAGGTTCAAGGGGTTTCGGGTTTACGCTTTGCCGTGGCACAGTGCGTAGGCGACAGTAGCCACGGTTTAGGGTTTAGGGTTTAGGGTTTAGGGTTTAGGGTTTAGGGTTTGTGCATCGTACCAAGGCGATGTGCTGTCAAAGCCTGTCTATGGAAGGGCTTTCGTTCCTGGGTATACATCTCTTACAAATTCAGCGCAGCGCAAGCGACCATGCGGAGACTCTAGGGTTTTGGGTTGAGGATTTGATGAGGGTCGGAAAGAGCGGGCTGGCGTATGGCCAGGAGTGTAAGCTCAGCTCCGCCCACCAAGTATGTGGGCCGCCTATGCCGTGAGTTCATGCAGGGTTAACGGTATAGGCTCAGGCAGGTTTTAAGGATTTTGCTTTCTGATAGAGACGACGGGATCCTAAATGCAAGATTTTCATAGTACTTGTAGGTCTGCCAAGACGGCACCCGTAAACGCCGGGCAGTTCTTGGATTCATAACTCGGTTACTTGGCATTTATCCCTGCAAGTACCGGGGACGCGAAAACACGTGCAACCACTAAACCAAGCTACACCGATACACACCCGTCAGACGTCCAAGGGCAGGGGCCTTTTCTTTCTGGATTCCGAATTCCCCTAGACCCTCAACCCTAAACCCTAAACCCAAGGGCACGATTGGGAAAAGGAAGCACCCCTGAAGGTCGCTCTTCCGCGGCTATCGGCAGAGGGTCGTGCCACCACACCGCATTGAGTCCTTGAGCTTACCTTTGGCTAGTAGGGAATGGAGGAATGGGGTACAACAATTTCTACTATTACTACCATTCTTCCATTACCTTCTAACCGAAGGTAAGTGAGGTGTTGCTCGTCGTTTGAGAGGTGTTGCGCCAACCTGTGTTAAGAGAGGCCGGTTCCCGAAACTGCGAAAGGCAAAGCATAGTAGTTCCTTAGATCTGAACCTCTGAATGCAAAGTCTTCAATCTGGAGCCGGCTTGGCGACGAAAGGTTTTCTCTAGACATGACATGTATGATGAGTAAGTATCTAGGGGACAGGAAGCACACGAACAAGTTTGGGGGTTTCGCAACGGAAGGCGATCGAGAAGAACGTCAGTCGTTGGGAACGAGAAGCAGTGCACGATGGTGATCTTCGCTACTGCAGTTATAGCGACGACATGAATCGTAGTGGTAGCAGTGGGAGTCGCCGCCTCCGTCGTAGTGGTGGTAGTCGTCGTCGTAGTCGTCGTGGCGGCAGCAGGAGTAGGAGTAGGTGTAGGGGTAGGAGTAGGAGTGGGAGCAGGCTAGGGGTAGAGGCGAAGGTGGGAGTGAGAGCAGGAGCAGGAGTAGGAGTAGGAGCAGGAGTAGGAGCAGGAGTAGGAGCCGGATTTGAGGCAATAGGAGTAGGATTCTTCGTCGCAGCCCTAGCGACAGAAGCAGCAGCGGCAGCAGAGGCAGCACCAGCGCTGCACTAGCAGCGCTAGCCCGTAAGCTCTCAATCGTTCTTATGAGTAGGAGTAGTAGAAGCATAAGCAGTAGCAGCAGAAGTAGTAGTAGTAGTCGTCGTCGTCGTCGTATATCTTTAGAGACCCTACCAAGCCGTCGGCGGCTAGTGTTTCTCCTATGTTTTGTCCGCCTTTCCCCACTTGCAAAAAATGTTGACAGACAATAAGACTTCGAGTTTGAGCTTTTCTATTTGCTGTCATAGTTGCTGTGATTGGTTCCTCGGTTTTCCATGGCACAACAGTGCGACATCGCTGATCGCTGCGACATGAAGCTTTATTATCAAGGCAAAAGCAAACACGCGCACAAGGCAACAAAGACACACACGCACACACACAAACAAACACACACAGAGAGCAGAGGGCTATACCAAGGCCCCAGCTGGCGATCTCTGGTCAACGGCTGATGGCGATCGAGACACAGTCGTTGCATGGGGTTGGGAGAATGGTGAGGCAAGCGCTTTGGGGGAGCTGTCGGGCTCTGGGGGTGGGGTTCTGCTTTTGTGGGCTTGGTCTTCGAGGATGAACGTGGAACTCTGGGTCCCTGTTGCTTTTGTTGGGGGAAAGTTTCGGAAGGGTCCGTAAGAAGAACCGAACTTAGAAGTCTTATGCTGCAGACGTGTATGGCAGCTGTTTGGTCGGCATATTTTGCTGGTCGTCTGCTAAGGTGCATGCTCAGTTTCCGCAAACAAACAAGCACCGAAACACACATACGAACAAGCACACACACACACACACACAAAACGCACACGGCATGGCACTCGTTCTGGCAAGGACAATGGAGTATGGAGTGCAAAACACTGACACACTGCAAACCACTGGTATACACTGTTACGCCTTCTGCATATCATTCAGGCCTGAATAGTGCCATATTTTTCCGCCGACATGGATTCGCCAAGTAAGCCTCCTAGTCTTAAAAGCGAGGTAACCACTTGGTAGGGGAGCCGAACCATGATTTTTAAATTTCGAAACCCTAGCCCGGAAAAAACAAGAATCATGCGAGCCCCCTAAACTGGGTTCTTGCTAAGGAATTTAATTTAAGTGGGATCTAGAGTAAATAATATGGTTTCGTTATCCTGGTAACTTAAACCAAATGGTCCGTGTCGAGGCTGCTTGCTGGCCGTGGCACCGTGACGCAGCACCCGCCTGCGGTCGAACTGCGAACACGCGCACCCGGTTAATGAAAGAGCGGGAAGCCCACAGGCGTTATTGTTAGCCTTCGTATACCATGTTTTGATGTTATCCCCACCCAAAAACCCTAAGAGTTTTTTAGCTAATTATGACTCTGCCATGCCGTTTTACGCTTACGAGGTGAGGGGTAGGTTCGCAGTAATGTTGAAGTCATAGCAATGGTGAGTTTGATGGCAGCTACACTAGCAAGAGAGGAGTTAGGATAAGTTTGAACCGCAGCAGCAGCAGTTGCCAATTGTGCTGGTAGAAGAAATTGAAGGAACCGTCAGTCCAGTGGAGCACATTCGTAGCTACAGCTGCAGGTAGCCCGGTGTGATTTTCGAAGACTTTGAAGCCTTTCGGCTCAGAAGTGGATTCTCGGAGTGCAGTAAGGTAAATCATCTCTGTTTGAGCCGTGCCCTCCAGGGAGGACACATCTTGTTGGCCTCATGGAAAACCTTCGCTTTCTTGACTTCTCTGAGCTCTCCGAGACAGTGTCGGAGGTTAGTGAGGACGACTCAATCTTTGATTCTGATGTAGAGACCAGCGATGATGAGAAGTTTGCGGGCATTCCACTATGGCAAACAGCCTTCAACATCGCAAAGACCATCATTGGGGAAGGGCTTCTAAGCTTGCCGGCTGGCTTAGCTGCGGGTACCGGCATCTATTCTGGAGTTGTCATTGCCTTGGCCTTCTATGTTGTGATGACCTACACTTTCTGGACCCTGGGTCGTCTTTGTGAGACGACCGGCGAGAAAACGCACCGTGGCATGGGGGACAAAGTCACCGAAGGGGTGTTCTTTGGGAACTTCATGGCAGTGGCCAACTTAGCCCAGACCCTTTCCTGCTGCTGGGCTCTTGTTCAGGAATCTAATTTGAATTACCACAAAAAGGATCCATAGTAAACATTGAGGCTTCCTTATTATGGTAACTTAAATTAGATCCCTTAACAAGAACCCAGGCTGCGTCGCATATGCGCTGGTAATCGGACGGAATGCGGAGGATGTCTTAGCTCCTTTTGTTTCAAACTCCTGGCTCAGCTCAAGGCGTGGCAGCTGGCTAAACCCTAAACCGTAAACCCCAAACGCTAAACCCTAAACCTTAAGGCGTGGCAGCTGGGTTACCATCCTCATTTTCGTCTTACTACCTCTCTGCTTGCTTCGGGATCTCTCGAAACTTGCCTGGGCCAGCCTGTTGGGTCTACTTTGCGAGGTTGGAGGTTTCCGAAAACTAGGTGATACCTTCTTTTGGGATCCGGGTAATAAGGGTCCTACTGTTTAGGGTATTATATAGGGGTCCGTTCTTGTGGGATCCTTAGAATAAGGATCCTACTATATAGGGTATTATATAGGGGTCCCCTATTTTCGGGAACTACCAGGTTGGGGTGGTTTCTTTCATGATCTGGCGCTTTCTGGACGGATCCTATTCGCCGGGTGGACGCTTCTATGAAAGCCAAACACCTGGCTTGCGACTGGGTTCTCGCTCAGGAAGCTCATTCAATTAAGTTCGTAGTAAGCAATATGGGTTCCGTACTATGGTAACCTAAAAGAACTGCCCTAACAAGAGCCCAGGCAAGTAGCTTGGGATGAAACCGGGGATCCAGAGATGTGGAGCTTGAGCCCATCTACACTGACCCTGGTCTGCAGCATGTCCTCGGCTTTCCTGGCCCACTACAACGCCCCCAAGTTCCTGGGTGCTCGCAAGGAGTCGACATGCATAGTACTTAGGAGAAAGCTTCTTTATTCATGGTATCGCGCATAAAGCCCCTTAATATAGGCGCCTAAATCATTACACATACTATGTTGGGAGTTTCCTAATATGATTGTGGTATAATGGGCAGTCAGGCCCCCTAAACCCTAAACCCTGAACCACAAAGCCCCTTTAAGAAAAGCCCAGGTTCTACTTAGAAGGGGCCCCCACCCTGTAATAGTGGTATAATAGGAACATGATAGGGCCCTAATATAATCCTTATAGTCACTATTACGGGGTGGGGGCAGCTTCTACTTGGAGGTTCATGGGTAGTTATAAGTGGGGTTATAAGTCCCCTAATGTGGGTTATAAGTATAGTTACCCTACTTATATCCCTGCTTATAATTACCCCTGAACCTCCAAGTAGGCCCTAAACCCTATACTCCTCCCTATAGATCCCTTTAAAGGGACCCTTAAAGGAACCCTTATAACTACCCCCTGAACCTCCAAGTAAGGTTCTACTATCAACTGAGAGACCGGGGCTCCAGACGCTTCCTGCTCGCGACGACCGCCAGCTTTACGCTGGCCCTTGTACTCTTTCTTGCATGCATGACTGTAGGAGACTAGGTTCCTGAGTAGTACCCTTTTGCACGCTTTTTGGAGGTCCCCGTATTAAAGCCGTATACTGGGAAAAAAAGGGTACCGTTATGATTTAGATGTAGGGGTCAATCATGACTGTAGGATACCTGACCTTCGGGCAGCATTGCTCGGGCAACATTCTGCACAATTACTCCGACCTGGATCCAGCAGCAGCTAGGTGGCAATTCGGCGTACTCTGACACACGGTTCTCGCACATGGTCTTGCAGAGGTACCTATTCCTGGCATCTGTGGGGATCCCTCATGTCAAGTGCTTACACTCGGGGGCCTCAAGCCTAAACCTAAAGGTCAACCAAAGTGCCCTATGCAAACCCCAACCCAATACATAATACACCCAAAACCCTAAACTCAAAACAAAAAAGACGCTCTTACCGCATGCACCCTGGTCTCAGAAACCCGAAGTTTGCGGTGCAGGCAACCGCCTCCAGATTCGGGATGCTCATTGCCGTGGCTTGTCCTCATAGACGAAGTTGCTCTGGGGTTGAAATCTTCAGATTTTTGTGGTTAGGTGTTAGAGTCTTGAGTACCGGGGATACGCGGTCAATCGTTTGGTTTCCTCATTGTGGTAATGGTCTTCTACAGTCGGATCCTGAAAACCCAAAAGATAAAGCCCGCATAAGGCCACATGATAACATGCTTTTGAAGAAGCACTCCAGAACCCGTTACCAACCGTTATGTAAACCTTTGCCAAATTTTGTTACGACCAAGCCCTACAAATCCTATGCACCCTATATATACCTTCAAAGCCTAGATTCCAAACTTGCAACTCTTCGTCGTCTTACAAGAGCTGAGGTCACCTGCGGCTTTCCCTTGGCTTTCACCGGCCTCCGCGACTCTGTGCGTCCCGGTTTAGGGTTTGAGTCGAGGGTTTAGCTTGAGGTTTCGTGGTTTGAAGGTTTTCGAATATTTGGAAGAACTAAAACTCCTCAGGGTTCCTGACTCACACGCGGTTTTCCAACTGTTGATACCCAAATGCATTAGGGGTTCGTGCGGGTTCTTTAAGGGTTCCATAGAGGCTGTATAGAGTTTGGTGCTTCGGGGTTAGGGGTTTTAGGTTTTCTGATGCTTCAGTCGGCAGGGGCTTTGTGCGTTTAGGGGAGGGCCACGGTTCTATGGTTGATGGTATAAATCCTGCATGACCCATAATAAGGAATATACCATAATTCCCATAGTTTAGGGTCCTTAAGGTAATGCAGGATTTATATCATCAACCGTACGTCACCCGAAGCTCTGCAGGCCTGAAGCCTCAGGCCCTACTTGGAGGGTCTTTAGGGGACTTAGTAGGGGGCTCCTTTAAAGGGGGATTCTAAGGGTTCCTTTAAAGGGCTCTATAGGGGTGCTATGGGTTTAGGGTTTAGGGTTCAGGGACTTAGTAAGTAGGTAGTAAGTAGAGTTATAAGTACCCTAAAAGGGACCCTAATTGGGGTTATGGTACTTAGAAGTCCCAAAAAATAACCAGTTACTAAGTCTCCCGACCCTCCAAGTAAGCCCCACCCTAACTACACTAAACCCTTACGCCGTACATCAATCCCGAGACCCAAATCCCACAGTACCCAAAACGACAGCTTAGAGCCCTGTAAAAGGAATGTGCCGAGGACTTCAAGGAATCTTACTATACCATAAACCCTGTCAACCTGCATGGTACCCTCTCAATCTCAACGAACCGTATGATAAACCCTATGAACCCCCGCATTAAATAACCTGTAAAAGAAGCCCTTTCAAACACCCGATCAGCCTTTTAGGGTGCTATGGGGTTCTAGAATATGGTTCCTATGAAGGGCACTAAAATAGGGTTCCGTTTAAAAGGAACTCTAAGATAGAACCCTATCGTACCCTTACTGGGATCCCTATTGCAGAACCCCACTTAGAGGCAACCACTCAAATTGAAACCCAGTTATTATAGCAGCCTATACTTCCCTTAAAGGGACACCCTAAACCGTAAACCCCAACCCAAGCTCTGACAGGGATTACCACGCTGGCGGATGGAAAAGAGGCCCCTAAACCCTGAACCCTAAACCCTAAAACCCCTAAACCCTGCGTAAACCCGAGGCACCTAAAACGAACAAAAACCTGCAAGGAACCTTAGCTTGGCCTTAAACCCCAAACCCCCATAGGTCCCCTATAGAAACCTTTAGGAAGCCCTTTAAAACCCTAAACCCTAAACGCCCACATATCCCTTATAGACACTTTTAAGGAGCCCTTCAAAACCCTAAACCCTAAACCCTAAACCGATAGTCGGACGAGGCTCTCGCTTTGCGCCTGCTCCTCGCGGCGCCGCGTCTGGCTCCCGCTGAGCGTCGCCCTTTTGATTCTGATCCTTGGATAGGTTCTAAAAAGGGTTTAGGGGTTTCGGGGCTTGGGTTCGTGGGTTTAGGGTTCATGATTAAGGGGTTCTCCTTAAAGGGTTCTATAAAGGATCCATGGGGGTTTAGGGTCTAGTTGGGGCTCCTTAAAGGACACGATAAGGGATCTATGCGGGTTTAGGGTCTACTAGGTTCCCAGTATTACCCCGCTGCCCGTTTTCATTTTGAGTTCCCTTATCAAAACCAATTAATCGGAAGAAGGATACCCTTAGTATAAAGGGGGCTACTGGGAAACCTAGTCTTGGATAGCCTATGCGAGAACTTTTACCTTGTCAGCCTCAGACATGTGTAAACACTAACGCCCTGAACCCTAGCCCTAAAAGCCTAAAGCCCCAAGCCCTGAACCCTAAACCTTAAACTGCATCTGTAAGAGAAAGTTCTAGAAGCGAGGATCGGAGCCCTTGGGTGGTCCCTGGACGAAGCTGGGCCTGAGATACAGTTGGGAGTTTCCGAAAATTAGGGGTTACCTTATTATGGGGTCCTTGTAAAAAGGATCCTATTTCTTTTTAGGGTACTATATAGGGGTCCCTTCTTTTGGGACAGGGGTTACCTTATTATGTATGGGGTCCTTGTAATAAGGATTTTAGGGTACTAGATTAGGGTCTTTTATTTTCGGAAACCCCCAGTGTAAGGTTCAAAGAGACTCCAATATCCCTCAATTAGAGAGTTTACGTTAAATCAGATTAGGCGTCCTACTATAACTGAAGATATATTCCTTAAACTAAATTTCAGGATATTGGAGTCTCTGGGTGTACGGTTTGGGGAGTTCGAGGTTTAGGGCTTTAGGGTTTCGGGTTCACGCTTCAGGGCTAATTTCGGGTTTATGAAGCGAGTGCACCTGGAAGGATGTTACTTATACACAAAGGAAGCAGTTCCAAAGCGGGGAACCGTAAACCCCCCCGACCCGTAGCCCTTAACCCTATATAGAACCCCAGTACCCTTTGAAGGGAACCGTACCATTACCTCTAAGGGCCTATAGTACTCTTAAAAAAACACTACTATAAAAGCCCTGACTCCTAAACAGCCCGGCCCAGCAGGTTTGCAATCACTTTCTTGGCATGCCCTAGCCTTAACTTGAACAGAAGCCAAGGAGTTGCACCTTCATGTTATGGGCCTAGGGGCTTTAGGGCTTTTAGGGCTTCGTGGCGTTTAGGGCTTCGGGTTTTAGGGAGAGATTTAGAGATTTAGGGGTTTTGGTTTGAGAAATGTCCTGCGTCTTTGCGAAGACGTAGTGCTACGACTCCCGGACCAGCCCCGACCGAGGTTTAGGGTTTTAGGTTTAGGGCTTTAGGGTTTAGGGTCTAGGGGTTTCCGTTCAACTGCTGGCCTACTGTGGAAAGGTTGGAGCCCTACTCTTGCGGATTTTACTATTCGGGTTAAGTTATAGTGTTCCTCTTGAAGTTACAACTGGAACTAGATTAGGGTCAATGCTAGTGACGTTATTGGGATGAATATTGAAGCAATCAACAGGTCATTATTGGTTTGTGTTTTCTTGCTCCTCCTGATATGACCACTCTTGAACCCTCAACCCGTAACCTGTAACCCCTAAATCCTAAACCTGCGAACATGAAGCTCAAAAGCTCAAAAGCCTTAAGCCCTTGTCGTACCCATGTTGAACGGTAAAGGACCCCGCGTAGTACCTTTGGTAGAGCCCTTAAAGTACTCCGTAGGGTGTTGCAACGGTGTGGGAGCATCCGAGAAGGTAGAGGATCCCGACATAGGCCCTGAATAGAAGCATCGTACCTTCATGTTTCAAAAGACTGGGCTTTGGAGTACCATACTTTACTACCTTTTTCTTAAAGGAACCATGATGAAATAAAAGCTTATACTTTTTCTCCCTGGTTACTTAAAAGCCCAGAAGAAGCTCCCCAAGCCAAAACAAAAGCATTAGCCTACAAAACACTGTCGCATAAACACACCACAGAACACTTCGGATCACCACTCCACCCTTACAACACCCTGCAGAGCACCAAAACGTTAAACAAAAATAAACGCCTAACCCTAAACCCGAAACACAGAGCCCGTAAGCAATGGCTATGGTAGCCTCAGCTAAGGACCTGGGTGTTCTCAACGCGCTGGGGGGTGCGCTGCTGGGATCAGCCAGTACCCTGATTTTTCCAGGCGAGATGGGTTTCAGGGCCCTATAGAAGCATAGAAAAATACATTTATCAAGGCCCCTACATTGAGTGTGAGGTTCAGGGTTTAGGGCTTCTGGTTTAGGTTCTTAGGGTTCAGTCAGTGGCTCAGGGCTTCAGGGTTTGTGGTTTACGGTTGCCGAACATCTAGGGTGTATAGATGTCAGGGTAAACTGCTTTGAGGTTTGGGTGCTTTGGGCTTAGAATTTGAATGTTCGAGCATGCAAGATCGTCGACTGTACCGTTTGGCAGGAAGCTGATCCGAGAATCAGGGCGCCTTGCAATTTCAGGTCACGTTTTGAATCTCTCTCTCTCTCTCTGTCTTTCTCTCTTTGTCTTTCTTCTTCGGGGGGCGACCATGTTCCAGGCTTGTTGCTGATCTGGGCAGCGCGCTTTGTGCTCCAGCAGCCACGCGTGGTGTGGGACGTGGAGGTGCCTTGGCGCTCTTCTGAGCAGATCTGACACCTCTTGGAATGCAAGACACGCGGTTGAGACCTTAGGATTGTGCTTTAGATTCCGGGGTGTATTTTTGGCACAGTTCGGAGTGATTCCTCATATTGTCTCTTCCCCGCAATGCTACTACTGCTGCAACTGCTGCTGCTACCAACTACTGCTGCTACTGCTGCTGCTACTACTACTCCTGCTACTGCTACTGCTACTGCTACTGCTACTGCTACTGCTACTGCTACTGCTACTGCTATCGCTAATGCTCCTGCTCCTGCTCCTGCTGCTGCTGCTGCTGCTGCTGCTGCTGCTGCTGCTCCTGCTACTGCTACTGCTCCTGCTCCTGCTCCTGCGCCTGCTCCTACTCCTGCTACTGCTCCTGCTGCTGTTACTGCTACTGTCACTGCCACTGCCATTTCCACTGCCACTGCCACTGGTACTGCTACTGCTACTGCCCTTGATGCTGCTTCTACTCGCATGCCCAGTGCCATTCCCACGAATCCTATTCAAAGTTCGGAAACAAGATCCTGAATCGAAGGTGAAGCTTGTCGGCCGAGTCCTTGTTGCGATGGGTGGTCTCCTGATGGTTTTCGGAACAGTTGTTGTTGTCAAGAACCGGATTTTGCACAAACAGTTGTAAATAATCAAGCCCCTTGCACGCTTGCACAGGTTTTTCTGCGTGCATCTGGGCTTTGACGATTTTAACTCAGATAATGAGTTTTGCCGTCTGCGGACGCAGTCCCGGAAGGGGAGAGCGCAGACCGCTTGTGGTGTCGCAACTTCGACGTTGGGAAAGTAGGATGGTTACTAGCTTTGGTTTGGGGGTAAGATGAGGAGTATGGCTTCCATCACAACATGACCACTGCTCTGATCTATATGAACCTTTGCAAACAGTGCACGCACACACACACACACACACACACGCCCACGTTTGTGTGGCAGATTAGGTGAGTGTGCATGCAAGGCCCGATTGCCACGCATCAGCGGAGGCAACTTCAGTTCGGAAAGCCCTCTTCGTTGTATTTCTCGGTTCCGCAGCAGCTGAGCAGTTCACAGCCCCAAACTCTTTACCTTGATGTAGGGGCCTTAATAATTGGAATAGTGTTTTTGGGCCATTGTACTATTATAATAAGGAGCCCCAAAATATTATAGGTAATTATTTAGGCCCCTATAGTAACCCTAAACCCTAAATCCTCAACTCTAACCCCTTCACACGCTTTTCAGAGAGACCTCACCTCGGAAGAGTGCCCGATTTCAGTTTCAACCCATGGTGCGGCATCGGAAGACTAATGGTTCAAGGTTCACACGTCCAGGGGTTTAGGGGCTTTATGGGTTTAGAGTTTTGTGATCATGTGTTTAGGGGTTTATGATTATGGGGCTTCAGGTCCGTTTAAGGGTTGAGGGTCGTTGAGGGCCAGACATCTTCCATCGTTTAGGCTCAAGGCATACTTCCCGGCCCTTTCCCGCAGCCTCTCCTTGGCTGCCTCCATGTACATCCGTTGTTGCTCGGTCGATGTAAAGTCCACAGGGTCCAAGTAACTGTACAGTATATGCTTGGGGGGCCCAAATATCTACTAAGAGCCTTAAGCCCTAAACCATACTACTTGGACCCTTTGGGAAAGGGTCCTTTCTTCTTTTTGTGGGTAGGTGCTCCAGCTGTGTGGAATGGGAAAGCCCATCAACAGGATCCTTCTTAATGTAGGGGCCTTAATAATTAGAACAAGGTTCTGCAAGGGTTACTATGAGGGTTTAGAGTAGGGGCCTAAATAATTAGAATAGGGTTTCGGGTTTATTTTACTATATGTATTATAAGGAACCCCCAAAACAATACTCTAATTACGAAGGATCCTGGCAGGTGGGGTTAGGCCTTGACCGTGAGCCTGGGACGGGTATGACGAGTATGAGACTTGGTATAAATATCAAGTAGTATCAGCACGGTATTAGTAATACGTGTAGTATTCATGTTTGAGTTCGTATGAGTATCAGTACTACTGTTGATGGACAAAATCCTGCATGACCCTAAGGACCCTAAACTATGGGAACTATGGTATATTCCTCATAATGGGTAGTGCAGGATCTTGTCCATCAACAGTAGTTAGTACAGGTTTGGTATATCTACTCCTGCATGCTTCCGCTGCCCGACGACACTCGGAGCACTTCGGAGCGACCCTTTATCAGAGTTGGGTAACATTTTGCAGTTTTATGGGTACTTAGACCCAATAATGAGGGATAAAAACCTACTACAGATCTCCTAGACGCCTTTATTGGAACCCCTTAACGGACCCCTCTTCTAGATTTTTAATACTATCCCAACCATGAACTAGGACCTTTCGTCTATACTATCCCTATCCCAACCATGAACCCAGAGACTGCAATATCCCTCAAGTATATAAGGAATACGTGAGTTTCCGAAATTAGGGGTACCTTATTCTGGGGGCCTTATAATAAGGATCCTACTATTCAGGGTACTATATAAGGGTCCCCTATTTTCGGAAACTCCCAATTAAGGAATATACCTTGCCTTTAATTATAGGAGGGGTCCTACTGTTGATGATATAAATCCTGCACTACCTTAAGGACCCTAAACTATGGGATTTATGGTATATTCCTCATTATGGGTAATGCAGGATTTCTATCATCAACCGTATAGGACCCCAAACCCCTAAACCCTAAACCCTCAACCCTAAACCCTAAACCCTCAACCCTCAACCCTAAACCCTAAACCCTAAACCCTCAACCCTAAACCCCTAAACCCGGTAGGGACCCTGTAGGACCTTTCTCTCCTTCGCGGGCGTCTGGGAAGCTTGGAATGGCCCGCCCTTGCAGGGACCCGAAGGCCTGGCTAAGAGGTTCGGTTTAGGGTTTTTTGGGGGTTTACGGGTTTAGGGTTTTGGGTTTAGGGTGTTGGGTTTAAGGGTTAGGGGTTTATGGGTATAGGGGTTCAGGGGGTTAGGGTTTGGGGGTTTAGGGGTTTAGGGTTTGAGGGTTTAGGGTTTAGGGTTTTGCTCCGGGTTTTGTGTGTGTGTGTGTGTGTGTGTTTTGGTTTGAGGGGGGGGTGCAAGGTTTCATGAGGGTTTTTGTAAGTGCGAGGGGGGTTTCAGAAAATTCAACCGATGTACGCCACCAGCACCTGGAAAGTAAGTTGTTTGATATGTGTCCCTTGTGTGGTAGCCTAAACCATGCTCCTCAACAAGAACCCAGTTACGTCACATGAACATAGACGAGACAGGCCCTACGCCCGAAGAGACGACTAAATGGTTAATTCATTCGAGGTTCGTCAGCGCTTTCTACCGCTTTGGGTGGGAGGCTGTAAAACGGATTCAAGATTACTGAAGCCCTTTTGTTTTCAGGGTTTGCAGAGTGCGCTTGCCAGGAGGATAAAATGACGTGACAGCGGCAGGGTGGGGGGTCATGGGTACATTCACTTGCCAGCAGCCCCATAAACTGTAACTGGACAGCTGGGGGCTGGGGTGTGCCAACGAACTTTTAACTATGATCTGGGTTTTGCGAACCAAGATCTCCTCTTAAGGTGCGGTTTGCCACGCAGGATCTTCCTTTCAGCTTTGGGGGGAATGCAGTAGGTGGATATGTTGGGAGTCATGCATCAACGAGAAGGAAAGGTCGAGGGACTGAGGGGTCACAGCGTGCGATGACAAGTAGAGTTCGCTGAGGGAGCCTCCATTTCTCAACTGTGCAGCCCAATGTTTCTTTACACCTCCGCGCAGTGAGTGTGTTTTCATTTTTTGGGGAAGGGTGCCTGACGAGGAAACAAAAGCTTCGACAGTAGTCTAATGCAAGCCCGCGCTAGCACTGCTGGTTCCATCAGCCCGGAGATCACGCACGCAACAAGACCCGAACTTTCAAGAAATCTTTCGCTTGGACCCGTAACCCTCAGCTGAAAACACGTAAACCCTGAGCCTTAAAAGACCTAATTCCCGGGTGAGAACCCTCAATCCTAAACCCAAAATCCGAGCCCCGAAACCTTGCGAAACCTTGTAAAACCGATAAGGGCCTCACGTTGGAAGCTGAAGCCCCAAAGCCACAACACAAGCCCAATACACAGAACAATAAATAAACAAATAAACATAAAGAGATGTAAGTAAACAAATAGCTAAATAAATAGGTATATATATATATCTATGTATGTACGCATGTTTATGTATATATCATTATAGAAATAGATATATCCACACACGCACGTACATAGATACACACCGTACCTTGATCCCCGCAACCCTACACACATTGTGAATCCCGTTTCGAATGTTTCGAGCCCAATATGCACAGACGACCTTGAGAACCCCAACGCCATTTACACGAAACCCTATCCCTGAACGCTAAGCCCTTCAAAACCCTCTAAACCCTAAACCCCGAGCCCAGGTGAGGAAGTGATGCAGTTGATTCAAGCTTTTGATGCCTCGGATGCCTACTGTGAGCTGCTTCTGCGGACTGGTTGCATAACTCGGAAATGCGACGTCTGCTCCGAGAGCCTTGGGTGCATCTTTACTGTATGTTACGTATATTATCTGATAATGCATTAATACATGATATCATCGCTTACTATACCATACCTTATTGCATTATAGCATACTGTATTCTACTGGGTTGTACTTTACTGTACCGATTACATGATGCTGTTTTGACTTGTATTATACTATACTATGTTGTTACATTTTATCGTAATATATTATCGGATGTCACTGATGTCATATGATATGAGATTATATCAAAGTATATTAATGGACAGTATATGTCTGTCTTATTATGTTTTACCATTTTGGGTTACAGCATGCGGTAGTATGTTACATTAAACCATATTGTATGTTATGTTAACTGGTGAGATCCGGCATTACACTATATCTTGCTTTCTCACATGATATGGAGTTAAGCTACACATAATTGTTGCATATTTTCCAGAAGCCCAGATGAAACCCAATGAAAGCATAAAACCCCAGACAACCATACAGCAGTAAATCTACCAGACCCTGCACAGCCTTTATTCGAAAAGGCAGCATAGACCACAAGCGGCGGAAGAGCAACTAGCAGTGGAAGCGGAAGTGCGCGATATATGTATATATATATATATACATATATATGTTTGTCATTTGTGTTTTTGCAGCCATTTGTAAGACGTGACTATCGCTGCAAAAACACATGTGTATATACACTGTGTAGTTTTCACACGGGAAGGCGTGAAAGTGCATTGTTGGGGGGGGAGGGTTGCCATCAATTCTGAAGTTCTATATTTAAACAGTGTTATTCTTGTTTAACTTTCCTGTCCGGTGCGCTTTTGTATATATATATATATATATATATATGTATGTATGTATTTTTTGCTTTAAACCTTTTTCAGGTTCCATACTATATACATGTACATGTCTTTCCTGCCTTCGTTACTTTTACTGGCTTTACTGATATCATATAATATTATCTGGTGTTTTACTCTCTTCTATTGCATTGCATGACATTGCAGTACGTTGGTTGCATTACATTTCATCACATTACACTATGATTTGTCGATTTGTCATAGTATAGTATAGTACACTTGTTATAGCATAGTATATGTATGTGAAGCCAAGATGCGCACCACACAATGCTGGCAAAAAAACCGTGCGGGACTGTGGCTGGAGCACGGTTGTTAGATGCGGATCCTAAACCCTAAACCTTAACCCCTAAACCCTAACCACCAAATCCTTAACCCTAACCCCTAAACCCTAAACCCTAACCCCTAAGCCCTTAACCCCTAAACCCTAAACCCCAACCCCTAACCCCTAAACCCGAAACCCGAAACCGTGGCAGCCCCATGGAGCGGAGTCCTTTGCAGCCACAGCCTTCGGAGCGTGACTGCGGCGGGAAGACCATGCGTGCCCCAAAATCCGCACGGCACTGTTGCGGGAGCGCCGAAGGAGTGAAAGAACCCATATGGGAGTTTCCGAAAATAGGGGACCCTAATATAGCCCTAGGTAGTAGGATCCCTATTATAAGGACCCCAAATAAGGTACCGGAAACTCCCATATTTTGTCAATCATGATGGTCCAACGCACCACCACCGAGCCAGCCCTTCTTAGGACTGAGTCTCAGGACCAAGAACCCCGCAGCTAACACGGTGTAAGCCGAACGGAAACCCCAAAACAAAGACTTCGGCGAGGATCAGGCAGCAAGACATTTTGGATGCTGCGGCGCAGAAGATTATGAGGTTGAGCCACCTGCAGGGTAGCAGGCAGCCATTGGCTGCTCCTCGGTTAAACTGTGCGGTGATTTTGTAGGTTTTCTGCGAGCTTTTATGCGATTTATGTTGGAGATATGGTCTACAGTTTTGTTGATGGTATTTACGTAGGTTGATGTGGTCTTGTAGGGTCCACTGCGTGGTTTTGGTTTTCTCCAGCATTTGGGTTTTGATTGGAGTTCTTGTCGAGAGGAAGAGGTATGTTGACATTAGGGCGTGTGAAGGGTGACTGAGATGGTTCCCTTTCCCTACAGTTTGCAAGAAGCCAGGTGTTTGTACTTGGAGCAACTGGTGCCGGAAAGACCAGCTTTATAAAGTATAGGCTTGAAGAAGAGCTGCCGCCAAATCACGTGGGCTTTGTCCGATCGGCAGTCCATGTCAATGCGGATGACCTGCGTTCCGAACTGGTCGGTGGCTACGCGATCTATTCTGCACTGGTGAACCAGAAGGCTGACTTTCCGCCGGGTCTGGTAGGCGACGCAAGTTTTCTTCGTGCAAAGATCCAGAACAAGGTCCTGGAGTCTGCAGTCGATTTCTTGGGCGACAGCCTTACAGTGCCAGCATTCGTAACACAAGAGTTTCTGGACAAGAACTTCGATGTGAGGATTTTCCACGTAGAGATCGAAGGGAGCTCAGATGCTCAGACGAGTTTAGAATAGCCCTAAACCTGAAACCCTACATCCTGAGCCCTAAGCCTTAAGCCCTAAACCCTAAACCCCTACACCCTAAACCCTAAACCCCTACACCCTAAACCCCTAAACCCCTACACCCTAAACCCTAAACCCCTACACCCTAAACCCTAAACCCTACCCTTAGAAGTTTTAACAACCTTCAGGCTCCTGGAACCCTAAACCCTGACCCTAAACTTGCTCTTTGCTCCTGCAATCACAGTCCGAAGCCTTGCCCACATGAACCCGAAGCTTCACAAGACCCTAAACCCCTAAAGGGAACTCCAGAAAGTTGGAATATGGATTAATGGTAGGATCCCCTATAATTTACCTTAAAGGGGTTACGATAATGATATTCCAACTTTCTGGCTTCTACTGTAAATCGTAAGGACGAGGCAAAGGCAGAGACCGCAAGAGAAGGAATCGAACAACGGATCGCTTCAGGAGGTGGGGGGGTGTTGGAAATAAGGGTTCCTGGATTCGGGGCTTAGGGGTTTAAACCCTAAGCTCTAAATTGCCGTAAGGCATGAAGGGGCCCAACTAAGGGCTCCTTCTAAGAACATTCATTTAAAGGGAACAGAAAGTTGGAATATGGTTTCAGGGTAGGATACCCTATAATTTACCATAAAGGGTTTAGGACAATCATATTCCAACTTTCTGGCTGTACAGGGTTCCATGATTTGATTCGGCGGTCTGAGGTCTTAGAAACGAGGGTTTCGGGTTTAGGGCTTGGGGTATGGCAGACGCTCGGGATCGGAATAGCCTCTACCTATCTTGTTCCTTAACGCTTCCTTTTTTTCTAGTCGTATTTTGGCATACCTATACTATTCTGATTACTACCGATATTACAGTACGCAGAACCTAAAGTAGCAAAACCCACAATACAAGGATCTTCAAATTCGATGCGAAGCTCTTCCTGCAATCCTTCGCATCCTTAGTACAAGGATCCCCTCATACGATACTGCAGGAAGCTGATTAAGAAACCCTGGGCCTATAACCCACAAATTGCAGGATCCATATAAGGATCCCTAATAAAGGCCCAAGGCCCAAGGTTTCTTAATCAGGTTCCTACATTACCCAAACTGTCTGAAATTATCAGGTCACTTTGCGCCTCCCACTGCCGCGAAAGTGCAAAAAAGTCGGGACGCCGCACTCCAGTTGAAGGAAGACGGATCTTGGGACTTGTGTTGGACTGGTTTAGGGGTTTTATTTTAGGGGCACAGAGACCCCCAATATCCCTTAATTAAGGAACATACATTAAGGGGTATGAAAATGGGGTCTCTAGTTCTTTTAAAGGGATCTATAGGGGATTTATAGAGCTTAGGGTTTAGGGGGTTCTAATATCCTTTATTACAGCAATATACTTTAAAGTATATTGTGGTTCCTACGACAATTTAAGGTATATTCCCTAAACCCTAAACCCTAAACCCTAAACCCTAAACCGTGGCATCAACGGGATATTGGAGTCTCTGGGGGGATTTAGGGCTGCGAGGGTTGAAGGTGTAGGGCTCTTGGGGTTTACGGCTTGAGTCTTCCACAGCGGTTCATCGGATTATGCGGGGTTCCCCGAGACTCCAACATCCCCTAAGTAAGGAATATACTTTAAATTACAGTAGGATCCGTAATGTGATTTAAGGTATGTTCCTTAATTAAGGGATATTGATGTTCCTTTCATTCTTAATTAAGGGATATTGGGGGGTCTCTGGGTTGTGGTAGGGCTTGACAGGAACTTCAGAGAAGCGAGTGTTAGAGGGATGTGTAGTATATAGCACGTTGACCTTTGCAAATGGGGTTGAAGTACTTGGAGGTTCATGGGTAGTTATAAGTAGGGTTATAAGTAGGGTAACTATACTTATAACCATATTCGGGGACTTATAATCCACTTCTAGCTACCCATGAACCTCCAAGTAACTTCCGTAACAAGAGCTCAGGATTCAACGTGAAGTTCTTCATCCGAAGTGGATCGGAGTTTACCCCGAAAGACGACGAAGGAGGCTTGTGATGACGCATCGCAAGGACGGCCTGATACCCATGTCAATGACAGGACGGATTGTGCGACACTGCAGCAGGCCAGAAAAGAGCTCATGGTTTCGATTTGTGAGTTCACGTGTTTAGGGTTTAGAGGCGACCCAGAGACTCCAATATCCCTTAATTAAGGAATATTCCTTAAATTTTGGTAGGACCCCTAAAATAGTTTAAGGTATATTCCTTAATTAAGGGATATTGGAATCTCTGGGTACGGGTTAACCCTAAACTCTAAAGCCTCAAAACGCGGTCAGAAGCTGCGAGCTCGCAGGGTTCGGAGCCGCGAGCTCAGAGCAGGGGCTTAAACCGCATGAGGTAAGTACCTGTAACCGGAAAGACTTACCTTTTAGGGTTCATTATTATGGTTTCTATATGTAGTTCCTAAAAAAAAGTAGGTCTTTTCGGCTACAGGTAGTAAGTAGTAAGAAGTAGCACATACTAGCCGCTAGTAGTAACTAGCAATATTTAGTATGCAGTTGGTGGTGGTAGTAGCAGTAGGGGGAGCAGGAGCAGGAGCCGGAGCCGGAGCCGGAGCAGCAGCAGGAGGAGGAGTAGTCGTAGCAGCAGCAGTACAACTTCAGCAGCCGAGACTACCATCAGGCCCGTCGTCATCAATGCTGCTAGCAGGTTTGATCTGTGCCTGCTGTGCTGGAGCTCTCGGCGCTTCTTGTGTTGGGGATGCTGATTCGGTAGGTCATGTGAGGAAGAAAACGGAATTGATGAGAAGAATGATGATCATGATGGCGATGACGATTACGATGATGGTGCATACCAACAGCAACATCGGCAACTGGACACGAGAGATTCTGCGGTCATGTTTTTGCCCCCTATGACGGAAGTTTGTACCTCTATATACACTGGCTGCATGTTGTTTCACGAGCCCTTCCGGGGATGGGATTCCCACGGCTCTGATACCAGCCTGCTCACACTAGGTAATATAGCTTCAGCCTTCCCCGATCAGAGTTTTCTGTCCGCACATGCCATGACACGAAGCACCAGCATCGCGATTATCACCCCTTTCGTAAGCCCCGTCGCTTGAAATGAGGTGAAGTTGCCATTCCAGTTAGCACTGTATTGCTGCGTTTACTACTTTAATTGTGCCGATTGTCTCCTGCGGCGCCATCACTGTTACACATGCTTCTGTTGAGCATGCCTGTTACGAAAATATTCTTAATCATCCACCGGTGCTCGAGCTAATATAGGGGCCCAATACTATTTTGGGGGTTCTTTATTATAATTATACTATAATGGGCCCCAAACCGTAGTCTATTTAATTATGAAGGCTCGTAAATAGATCCCTTATAGAACCCAATCCTGAGCACGAAGCTGGGGCCCGCGATCCGAATCCCCTCGAAGGTGTTCAATCCCAGAACCCCGGATATGAGGGCTTGGGGTTTAGGGTCCAAACCTGTAGAGGATAGATTGGGGTTTAGGGTGCAAACCTGTAGAGCCTACACCCCAAATCCTGAACTGAAGCCTACGCCCTGCACCTCAAACCTTAGGGGTACTTAGAAATCGTTTTTTGTTTTTGATTATTATAACCCTTAAGAAACAGCTAAAATTCTAATTTTTGCTAGCGTTCTAAGTTCAGTAAAGAAACCCCTGAACCTTGGGTACGGCCCCCACTCAGTAATAGTTGAATAATATTCCTTATATAAGTAATATTGGGACCCTAATAGTAGCCCTATTCCTAAACCCTAAACCCTAAGCCCTAAGCCCTAAGCCCTAAGCCCTATTATAAACCCCTAAAGCTTCCATTGGCCTTGGTTTCGTCTTTGCCGCCTTGGGCTCAAGCATAGCGACGTGCGAGGAAAGGAATGCCGTCCTTGACCATGAGAGCTTGAATCGAGGGTGTACCCTTGTCTCCATTGTAGTTCCTTTTCTTGGTTAACCAAAAACTCTATTATAGGATCCTAACCATAAAACTGGTTAACCAAAAAAAGGAACTACAATGGAGACTATAGGTAGGGTTTCAGGTTTGGTGGGCTAGTCCATATCCGTTTACAAGCAAACCCCCCCACACGCTCCAGTGAGTTAGGCTCTCGGCGCGACTTCGGGGTTCTACGTAGTTGACGCGGCTCCCACCAAAAAAAAGGAGCCCCAAAGCAAGCTTCTGCAAGAAACACATGACATGACCATGACCAGGAGCGGCCTCTAAATGCAGCCAGGATGCGATGGCCGAAAGCTTTGTCCGAAGGTTTTCTGTTGGCCTTTCTTCTGCGACCGACTCGCCTCGCAGGGCTTTCTGAGGAGCTTGCATTGGGAGTTGTAGGTGGCTGGACAGCCTACACTGAACCGGAGGAGTTGGTCGCCGTCATTGCAGCCTTCTTAGACTACCAAAAGAACTTCGATGCAGATTTGCAGGTGCGGCTTGGCCCGCCAATCATTGAGATCCCTGGAGGCGTCCATGAAAATGCGTCCATTCAGCTGCGCATCGGAACCACGCATTTGCAACCGGATATCGGGCTTGCCTCGGCGCTGGACATGATGTTAGGTCTCGATGGAGCACTACCAGTCGTTGGGCTGGTTGGGGCGCAGCTATCCTCTGTGAGCATGCCCATTGCTACGCTGGGAGGCGTGAGGGGAGTCCCCCAGGTGTCCATGTCCTCCACGAACCAGGACTTGTCCAATAAGGACTCCTTCCCTTACTTCTTACGTACCATTCCGCCAGACAGCATTCAGGCTGCTGCTTTGTGGACATGGGTCTTACACTTCGACATCGCACTGGCGACCTGCCTCTACTCGGCAGAAGTCTATGGGCAAGGTGGGAGTTTCATCAACACTTCAGACCAAAAGAACCCCCGACTTTTACAAACAAGCCCTGCAGCAACGAAACATACGTAATTAGGGGTCGGAAGAACTGGCAATGATATCCCGATGCTAATGGACTCGCCGAACCCTTTTGATAATCATGAAGACGCCTATATCACTTGTGCCCCACGTTTAAGAACTCCTAACCCCCAGACCCTAAACCCTATATTCTATATGGGACTTTCCGAAAATAGGCGACCCTGACATAGTGTCCTAAATCGTAGAATCCCGATTATAAGGACTCCAAGATAAGATGCACTCGAGTTTTCGGAAACTCCTATGTGACCCTACTTTTAAGGTCCCTAAACCATAAACCCTTCAATCCGTAAACCCTAAACCCCAGACCCTAAACCCTAAACTAAACCTCCATGACCCTGCTTTTGAGAACCCTTTCCATGTCGATTCACCGAGATCCTCATAGACACCCTTACGGGTCTTTTCAAGGAGCCCGCAAAAGAGACCCTACTTGCAAGAACCGCCCCGCAGGTCTGTTCACCGAGATCCAGGAGCTGGCACGAAGCAGTGGCCAACCCGACCGCGTGCAGGGCAAAGGCTGGCTTCTGGAGAGTTTAGGGTTTAGGGTTTCGGGGTTGAAGGTTGGGGGTTTGGGTCTAGGGTTCGGGGTTTAGGGTTTGGGGGGTTTAGGGTTTGGGGGTTTAGGGTTTTGGGGTTTCGGGGTTTAGGGTTTTAGGGTTTGGGGGGTTTAGGGTTTCGGGGTTTAGGGTTTTAGGGTTTCGGGGGTTTTGGGTTTGGGGTTTGGGGGTGTAGGGTTTCGGGGGGGTTTCGGGGGTTTAGGGTTTGCGGGTTTAGGATTTGGGGATTTAGGGTTTAGGGTTTCGGGGTTTACGGTTGGGGGGTTTAGTGTTTGGGGTTTGGGGGTTTTATGTTTCGGGGTTTTGGATTTCGGGGTTTAGGGTTGGGGGGTTTGGGGTTTCGGGTTTAGAGTTTTGGGTTTTGGGTTTCGGGGTTTAGGGTTTGGGGGTTTTAGGGTTTCGGGGTTTAGGGTGTGGGGTTTCGGGTTTCGGGTTTATAGGGTGTGTAGACACTGTGCACGCAGCCTACTTTCACGCAGTAAATATTCGGCTCCTGCCTTCGTGTTTACGTATACTCACCCGCCTTATGGCTTAGGTTCAGGGTTTCGGGTTCAGGGTTTAGGTATACCTGGGAAGGTCTGCGGCACATGCCATCGGAATTTGCCACTGAAGAAGCTCGGGCTGTTCTCAAAGAGGTCAAGAAGATGGGCTCTCGTTTCCTGATCATAACTATGGATGGGGCCATGATTCCTGGCATGTTCTCCCTCTTGCATGAAGAGGGAATTTTCGGGCCAGGGTGGCAGGCTGTCGGCTCTGACAATTTCTATGCGTACCAGGTGCACCAGGACTTCCACCTTCCAGTTGGCTTCATGATATGCATGGCTGAAACCAAAGGTCCCAAGTTTCCGGAACTTCTCCAGATGTGGTCCCGTCTCGGTCCAGAGGACATCGTAGGAGCAGAGGCAGTGCAACGACATGCTCTAGATCAAATGAGAAGGCCACTTGACAGGGAAGACGTGGTGAGGCTGGTGTCTAATGAAAGTCCTGGAATACCCAGCGGGTGGTCTGCACTGGCTTTCGATGCCGTGTACACCTTCCTTGTTGCCATCAACCAGCTACTGCACAAAGGGGTGCCCCGCAGTGAGATCCGTGGGGAAGTGCTGTTGCAAGAGTTGCGCAGAACAAGCTTCACAGGCATCTCGGGATCTGTGAGTTTCAACGAGAATGGTGATCGACTGGGAGCCTATGAGCTGCTGAACGTTCAGGGTGAGGCTGCTGAATCTGTCAGGGTGGCCGTGTTCAGCGCTTCTACGTCGGAGTTCTTTTTCGAGAAGTTCCCTACGTGGATGGACGCTGGGCTTCGGAGTGCCGTACTTTAATAACTTGTCAGGGCCTCTTACTTAAAGGGAACCATTACGAAATGAGGTCTATACTTTTTCCTTGGTTACTTCAAAGCCCAGGACGGCTCCATGGGGGCTGCACCCCCGGACCATCTGTACTCTTGCGACCCTGGGTTCTACAAGGAGGAGCAGTCCAAGCAGTGCAGCTAGCTCTGCCTGTTGGAGCCTTTTGCATATCCCTCTGCTTGCGCTTAAGAAGATCATGATGTACTATGTTTCAAACGCCCCTAAAGCCTACACCCTTGAACCCGAAGCCGAAGCCCTCTGTAAGCCCTAAACCCTTTTCCAACCCAGGTAAGGCGTGCCCCAAGGGCATGAAGTGCCAGGGGGGTTTCAATGCTACATCGACAGCCTGTCCCAGAGGTACTTTTGCCAGAGACACAGGCTCCTTTTCTGCTTTTCGGAGGTCCCAAGGGCCCCAAAACCCCAAACGGCCCCCCACACTCTACAGTAGAAGCCCAAAAGTTGGAAACCCCATAGCCTCAATCCTTAAGAGTAATGTATAGGTAATCCCAGCACTTTTGGGCCTTAATCCGGTTTCCAACTTTGCGGGGTTTACTATAAACGGCCCCATACTCTCAACCTACACTCTAGTGTTTAGGGTTTAGGGATCTCAACATAAACATACATGGGAATAGAAGGCTGACCATGAGATTATCATACAGACTCTAGGCTCCTACAGCTCCAAAATCCCAAAGCCTAGATCCGAAGCGACAAGACCTGGATAGGTATTTAGATTCAGAGTCTAGGGTTCATGTTCATAGCTGCATCATGTATTACTCCATGCAAATCCCTTGAAGCCTGTGGCCTTTAACTACAGACCCTACGCGAACCCTACAGCAATCCTCTAAGAGCGTAAACGCGCCTTGAACCCTAACCCACAGGCCAATCTGCTTGTGTTCCATGCGCCGAAGGATTCTTTGCCCCGGACACAGGTGGGAGTTTCCGGATCCTGATTCCATATGATGGCTAGAATAATTGCTTGTTCTGCAATTACGCTCAACCTTTACACCGATACCCTACCCCAACTGGGACTGTATAATGACCCCGTGCTGCTAAGTTTAGTCTTGACATGCCCGTGTTCGGTTTTGATGATTTTTCCGTGGAAAACGATAAGAAGACAATAAACCGACAACACTTTTTTCATGGTAAAACGGTAAGAAGAAAATAAAACGATAACAGCATTCAGGGATAAGGATATTTATACGGGGTTATCATACAACCCCAATTGCTACAAGGCCCTGGAAGTAGACCATGGTTTGAGGTTCCGGGTTGCATGTAGGGTCCAGGGCTAATTCAGGGAACTTTTGAAGCCAAGGGACCTTACACAACAGCTACACAGTTTACTGAAGAACCCTTCTGTAAGCCTCGGCCCCCAACCCTAAGCCCTCAACAAGCTTCATGTCAGAAGCCTCGGAGGTCTGTCGGAATGCAGCCCCTGCCTCCCTGGTTACGAGGCACCGGATCAGGGCATGGAGGCTTGCAGTAGGCGGGGGTTTCAGAAAAAAGAGGGGTTTTGGGGGTTTAGATACACATAGCCTACTTGGAGGGTCGGGGGACTTAGTAACTGGTTATTTTAGGGACTTATAAGTACCATAACCCCAATTAGGGTCCCTTTTAGGGTACTTAGATGTCTACTTACTACCTACTTACTGGGGACCCTCCAAGTAGCCCTAATGATCTGACCTAGGCTTTGGGTTTAGAGTTTCAGAAAGAAGACGAGGCACTTGAAGCTGCATTGCTACGTAGACATACTATAAAGGAGCCTAAGTAATTTTCAATACAATTTGGGGGGGGTTCCATATTATAGGTATAGTATAGTGAGCCCCAAAAGCCTATTTTAATTATTAAGGCCCCTATAGTACCCTAAAGTGTCGGGTCCTGAATATGGACACCCCAAGCGCAATCTTGTATCTTGGGACACAGCCCCGAGGTGTGAGATCGGCTGGTACTCTGCCTTTTCTGGGCAAGGGCGCTGCTCCCCGTGCGGACGGGGTCAGATCACCCGGGAAAGTGGGGCAGTGAATGAGTCCGAGTGCCTCTGTGGGCAAGGCTCCTTCATGTGCTCCGAGACTCAGAGCTGTGAAAGCTGCTTTGAGGGCCTCTTCTGCCAAGAGGGTCTGGGTCCCCCAGTACAGCTTGCCGGCTTCTGGACCAAGGACTCTAGGTATCGATTTGGGATCATTAGAGTTCAGGGCTGAAGAGCTTATTATTTAGGGTTACCCTTATAGTTTCCGAAAATTAGGGGTGGGTCCTTATTATAAGGACCCGACTATTTGGGGTACTATATTAGGGTCCCCTATTTTGGGAAACTCCCATATAGCGCCCTCACTGTAGATAACGTTTAGGCACTTTTGACATCGACACCTAGGACTCTTCTGCGAGCTGCGAGTTTTCTGTTCTTCGCTGTCGCAACGCGAGGGAGTGTCCCCAAGCTACACTGGGCACTTGCGCCGACGGAAGAGAGGGGATCGCTTGCAATAACTGTAAAGCTACTTGGCGTTCTTCTGGTTGGCTCTAAGGACTTTAACATTTTGAGTTTCTATATGAACTGCAATAAGGAGGCTAAAAGTTTAACTTTCAGGAGGGGTTCAGAATTCAGCCAAGGCAAGACATTATCCGAGGGAGAACGGTACCTGCCTGCCCTGTGGCGAGACTGACGCCTTACCAGGAGTCATAGCCTTCGTTGCAATTCCGATAGCCTTGCTGCTCGTGAACATGCTGAAAGTCGAGCCGAGCCAAGTCAGCACCATGGCTGCAGCTGCACAGCCACCGACTTAAACTCATATTGGGCACATACGGCCTATGCCGGGGATATATATATATATATATATATACATATATGTGTACAGATGCACATATATGACACATACACATACACAAACGGATACACAACTATTTGTTTACATATATCTATATATAGATATGATGTACATTTATGCGCACACACATGCACATGTATGCATGGATGTTAGTATGTGTGTATGTATGTATGTATGTATGTATGTATGTATGTATGTGTGTGTATGTATGTATGTATGTATGTGTGTTTGTATGTTTGTATGTATGTATGTACGTACGTATGCATGTGTGCATGTGTGCATGTGCATATACGTCCATATGTATGCGTATATATATATATATATAGACATATATATATATATAGATAGATAGATATTGACGAAGGTTTAGCCTTGGTTTGGTGCTAGGGTCCTCAGTCCCCTAAGTTTTTCGCGCTTGAGCAGAAACAGGTTTCAACTTGCTGACCGCAGCGGCAGTGTCGAGCCAGCTGCTCGTGGCGATTCAAACCCTCGGCTCCTTGCCAGTGGGGAGTTTCCTATAATAGGGAACCCGGGGAGTTTCCTATAATAGGGAACCCTAATATAGTACCCTAAATAGTAGGATCCTTGTTATAAGGACCCCCAAATGAGGTATCATAGGAGGCCAAAAGGGGGTTTAGCCTATGGGGGTTTAGTAGGGATTAGGGTTCCCATAATAGGGTTCATATTAAGGAATCCCTACCCCAAGAATCTTAAACCCCCCTTTTTGGCCTCCCATCAGTAGAGTTTGTAAGCTTTGACCTTGTTGGGGTGGTACCCTTCTGTAACCCCTACTAGACAATCCCTCCATGGTCCCTGCATGTTCCCAAAAGGTTAACCTTTAATGCAGGGGCCTTAGAACTTAGAATTGGTTTTTCGGGGCTTCTTTTGATCATTATAGCGCATAATCTACCCCCCCAAACCTCATTTTAATTATTAAGGCCCCTACCCCGAGCCCTTCTAGCAGCCCTTATAGACAACTTTAAGGGGTCCCTGTTCTAATGTTCAAGGCCTCTATATTGGATCCCAACCAGGCTCCATCCAACAGCTGTCCATTGAGTGGCAGCAGCCTGTCCTTCAACTCTTGGAATTGACGAAGCTTCTAACGTTTGACCTGGATTCTCAGTGGCTGACTGGGTAAGCTTTAACTTTTCATGGTTCATCCTATCCTCTCATAATTAGCAGGTTAACCTTTTCTTGTTAAGGGAACTCAGCAAATAAGGATTTCATCCGTATCACTTGCATCTACGGAACGGATAGCCCCGTGCTGAAGTTTGCAAGCCGACTGCTTGCTTGTCCTTTGGCTTGTGGCTGCCTTCTTTTCAGCTGGTGCTTGTCAAAGATGCTGGGACGGCCGAAACCCTTGGACACAGTGCTGAACCTTTGTGGGCTGCTGATCTTCGCCTTCTACTTGTCGATCGCCCTCACAACTTTGGTCCCTTAGCAGAAGAGTACGCAGCCTTTAACCTTTGTGGGAGTAGAATATCCAATCCCGAAGGTTAAGCTTGTAATTCTGGGAAACAGAACAACTGAGGTTCCCTTTCAATGTGCTCCAAATCCAGATCAAACTGCCTCGATGGTCTCTGATCCAGGCATTGCCTGTTGCCTGTCTGATGACAGGCTTCTTTTTTTTTTTTTTTGGGGGGGGGGGGGGGGTGGAGGATGTTTAAACGGCTCAGGTTTCGTATACATTGCACGACGATGTCTGCTTTGGGGCTCAAAGTTTCAATTGTTTGTTTTCCTGCGTCCTTGCTGGAAGCGAGCCCAGACTTCTAGCAAGCCACCTAAACCCTAAACCCTAAACCCTAAACCCTAAACCCTAAACCCTAAACCCTCCAAACCTTAAGCCCCGAAGCCTTAAAACAGGAAGCCTTCAAAGTACATGGGGGGGCCGTATGATAACTAGCAATACCATCTTCAGGGCTCCTTAATTACTATAGTCATAGTTATATAGTAGGATAGTAGGATATACCCCTAAACCCTATTCCGATTATTCAAGCCCCTATATTGAGGTTACAGCTCCGACGAGCACGCAGCTCTTGTTGCTTTGGCGGTGTGTGGACTCGTCAGCCAGCCTCTTGCGTCTCGGGTGGAAGTGTTTGAACGAACCCTACCTAAACCCAAGGGTTTAGGGTTTTTGGTTTGGGGGTCCCTTCTTGCTGGGGTTTAGCGAAGAGCCATAGGGGTTGCTAGTTCAAGATCCAGACACAGAGGCATTTTTGGCCGTGGCGACCTATGCAACCATCATGTACCCGTGGCTGGGCCACTTCTGGTGATCCGGGTTCATTCGGTCAGGCTTAGTGTCATATAGATACGTTGGCATTTAATCTGAGTGTATGTATTTTTCGTATGCATGTATGGATGTATGCATGTGTACATATACAAATAGACACTTATGTTCTGCATGCATGACATGCAAGCTTGCATATGCATTTAGGTTGGTTGAATGTTTGCAGATATATACCAACGGAGACATACATGCATACTCATATGCATGAATATACATATACGTATATCTATCTATATATATATATATATTTATTTATTTATGTACGTATACATGAAGCTGGTGTTTCCTTTGAAACCGTTCACAATTCACAACCCAAACCCTGAACCCCTAAACCCTAACCCCTAAACCCTAAACCCAAACCCTGAACCCCTAAACCCTAACCCCTAAACCCTAAACCCTAAACCCAAACCCTGAACCCCTAAACCCTAACCCCTAAACCCTAAACCCAAACCCTGAACCCCTAAACCTCCTTAGATAACCCCGAATGATGAGAATGCCAGGTGGCGGGTCGGCAGCGGCCGGGGGCTTCGCTCGATGAACCGATATCGCTTCTTGTTCCACCGGTTCAAACCGGAATCTCAGCAATCAAGAAGCGCGCTTTGAACACCTGAGAGTAAGGGCTCTCATACGCCCTAGACCCTAAGTTTCAGTTTATGGTTTTGCTTTGAGGTTCCTTGAGACAATCCTCAGCCTCCAGCTACTAACTCCCCAACCCCAAACCTCACCAACGCAAGGAGAGGTACAAATACGGCCTCTTTCTCCTTTACCGAAACAGCCTCCTGGCAGCAAGACACCAGAATCTCAAACTGGGAAAAAAGTGGTTAAGATCCAATCCTTGCATTTCCGAACGCATAACTGTGAGAAGATAAGCACTAGAAATCTCTAGTGGGACATTCTTGGTACTCTCCCAGCGCGATGCTCCCAATGCATCTTCAAGACAAACCCTAGCGACGGAGCAACAACCAAGCGATTGCTTGAAGAGAAGAAACATATGCACATATGTATAAAATCAGACATCCCACATACGGTATGTCAACATCTGATGGTGTAATCAGGTATTGTGGCCCTCTTACCTGTCGCTGTGGATGTGCCAGAGATTCAGGTGCCGATTTGGGGTTTTGATTCTCGGTTATGTCGGGATCGTGGGGAAAAAGGGTCCTCAATAATTACATGTAATTACCATTTTGGGGATTCCTGATTATGGTAGTATAATATACCCTAAGACCCTACTTGAATTATTAAGGCCCCTACATTACACGGATGGGCATTAGGGCCAGAAGGTGTTTGGCTTGGTGGCGCATAAGGTTCCGGAGTTCTAGAAGCCGTTGTAGATGTCCAGAATTTGGGTTTTCCGTTAAGCTGTGGTTAAAGACCTCCCTATGCCGAACTCCTCAACGAGAACCCTGACCGACCTTGGTACGACTATGAGATGATGTCGGGTGGTCAAAGCATGTAATCGCAGTTATGGCAAGCAGAACACCCAAGATACGCCTCTCTCCACCGCAGTGTCGTCAAGAGTCCTAAACGACGTCTACACACTGCACCGTCAGTCCTAAACCCACATCCCCCCGAACCCGAAAGTCAGTTAGCATCTTTAAGGTTTGAAGTTTCCAGGGTTTGAGGACTAAATTCAATTAGAAATAAACAGAAATAGTAGGAATAGTAAGGGGCCTCGTCAGGTGCCGGTCATGGGCACGATCCTCCTTGTCAGCCTAGCGCTGCAATCTCGGACCTTTCCCTGGCGCACGGAACAGGCGAACCACGTGGACCTGGCATTGACTGGGCTCTTGATTATTGTGCGACTGGGCACTGGTGTAAAGGAGTTAAAACAGCATAAGTGAGAATGATAATTTCAGTGTGTGATGTGCTGTCTATCCTGATGACTCCAAGTGAGTTTCTGAACAAGAACCCAGGCTACTGGGTGCTGCGCCCCTCCTGAAGCTCGACGAAACTGAGTCTACTCTTTCGCTGGGCATTTTCTTATGCATACCCGTGGTGATGATCCTCGTGGTAGCATTGCTGGCCTTGCTGCGAGCCATCGTAAATCATTTTCGGAAGCGGTGTCTCTACGGCATTTTTCTATGCCACCACAAGGCAGGCAGAGAATTCAGGCTCTTCGTTTCTCCCTTTCCCGGTGACTTCTTCATGATCTGAGGTTCGCAGTAAGTTTCGGGTGTCGGGAACCCAAGTAGACTCGCTTTGTCCCAAGCCCTGCAAGGGTGGCGCTGGGAGCCTCTGTCGGTTGATGAAGCTCTTGATTGCACGACACAGCCCAACAAGGGTCTTCTTGGATTGTGACCAGCTGGAAAACTTAGACTACCTCTTTGACATCGTGCGAACCGAAACAAAGAGCGTGGTGGTCGTCCTGACGGGAAAGCTCCTTTCACGATCTTGGTGTGCTGCTCAGTTTCCTGCAGGCTGCGATGCCTTTAATGGAGAACCCCTGAATATTCTTTGACCGTGAACTCCTGAAACTTCCGGTCTTTTGGCATTGGACTCAGCATGTCTGGTCCTTTGCTCGAAGTAGCTGGTCTGTTGCAGCGTAGGCTTGCGGGCTCAGAGTTGCATCCCGTGGCACGAAGCCTCACCATCCTCTCTTCAATCGCGGGCCTGAGCTGTAGGGTATAAGGGGAACTCCAGAAAGTTGGAATATGGTTTCAGGGTAGGATACCTTATAATTTACCATGAAGGGTTTAGGATAATCATATTCCAACTTTCTGGCTTTTACTTTAGGGTTTAGGGATTGGTTTGCAGACAAGTCGTGGCAGGCACTTGAGCCGTAAAACGCAAGACATCTTGTTACAGCGAAGCAGCAGCAGGATGAGGAGGAGTAGCTAGTGGCAGGTAGTAGTTCTGTAGTAAGCCCAGTAGAAGTCAAGTCGTAGTGGTAGTAGTAGTAGTGGTGGTGGTGGTGGTGGTGGTGGTGGCCGTGGTAGTGCTAGTGTTCGGGTAGCGGTAGTGGTAGTAGTAGTAGTAGTAGTAGTAGTAGGAGGAGGAGGAGGAGGAGGACGAGGAGCAGCAGGATCCTTGAATAGAACCATGCGAGCGATCCTATGACTAACGCATGCAATTTTCCGGCCCGGCCGTTCGACAAGCAGTGTGCCGAGGCCTGGCATTGGGACACCCGGCTCAAAGCATGGCCATCGAATCCATGCCCGAACCCACTACGGTCCGCCAAGACCACACCAATCGCCATCTACCCATGCCGGAAGCCTCGTTGTTGGCATCTGTGCTAAGTAGAAAGGGGGATGTTGGCCTCGGCCTTCGCAGCGGGGGGGGGGGGGGGGTGATGCTATATTTGCGACAGGCATGAAGAAGTTTATATATTGCTGAGGCAGTGCTCAATCTTGCGATTAAGTCCCTTGCCTAAGTTACCCAGTTCGAAGCGCTGCTTGGTGCTACTAGTACCACTGCAACCAACAGCAAGGCAATCACTGCAAGGAAACCGGAGCTGCTACTGTGGTTTAGTCTGGTGATCCCATCGCACGAGCACCTTTCTCCCGGTCTCGTCACATTGAGGGCTGCGATTGGCACACCAGTGCCTCAATCTTATGCCATTGCAAGCGAAAGTAATTTCAGATCCCATACGACGCAATTTGGGACTGCCTTGTTTGTAAGAGTGAGTGTTTCACACGGGGGGGGGGTCGGTTTTGAGAGTGGGACAGTCGTTCTCCAAAGTGGTTTTCCGGATGCACTTTGACAGTTGCACTGACCACTTTCAAAACGGGCTGTCTGGCTGACTTAGGTGCGCCGGTGAAATCACTACAGCATGGAAGAACAATATCACGACGGTGCCGTTGCAATGTGACGGTTTCAAACTACTGGACGAGGAGGCATTAAAGCTCATTCCGACATGGTGGACACCGCAGCAGAAGCAGGTCCTCGCAAACTACGGGGTTGCACTGGGCGATGTCATGTCTGCGTACGTTTGGTTGCAGCATAACCTGCCGCATCTGCAGATGCCTCGCTCTGGACCGGCTCAGCCCTCATCTTCTGCAGTAGTTGTCGTAGCCCGCAGATCGCAGTCCTGGTTGCAAGTGTTCTCTACGCTCCACATCTTTCTTGTCCTGCAGCCTGCTCCCAGGTCTGGCCGCGTGAGGAGGTGGTGCGGGAAATGCTTGGTCTTTGCGGAGTCCTCTCTATCGGAAGAAGGAGCTTGTTGCCGTTTTGTTACATTTGGTCACGTGTTATTCTGGTGATCGCCACTGCAATAACAGGATCGCCACTGCAATAACAGGAACAGCAATCATATGCAAGTATTGCTCCGGCAGGTGGCTGCTACTTCGAATGCTACTGCTGCTACCTTAACCAGCTTCCTGCTGCTGCTGCTGCTGCTACTGCTACTACTACTACTACCACTGCTATACTACTACTACCACTTCCACCACCACCACCACCACCACCACCACCACTTCTATATACTACTACTACTACTACTACTACTACTACTACTACTACTACTACTACTACTACTACTACTACTACTACTACTACTACTACTACTACTACTACTCCTACTGCTACCACTACCGCTGCAAGTACTGATGCTGCCGCTACAGCTACTCCTACTGCTACTCCTACTCCTAGACTCCAAGATCTGTAAGATGCATATTCAGTTTGCTTGTGAGCGTTTTGAGCAGAGAAAGATACGGGATGTCCTGTGCTTTTGCTTGGTGTTTGCGCCGGACATGGCACTCATTTCGCGGAGATGGTGCACAAAAGACGATGCACTTACACCCAAAACGCCTCTGGGACGACCATTGCCAGCTTCATTACCGCGGCTGCTGCTATCACTGAATCGCGCCTGAGCGTCGCTGTTGCTGTTTCTGTTTCGCTTGCGAGCACCACTGGACTATTATGACATCATGATTCTCACCGCGACTACATCTGCTATTTACTGTTTCTGGTGCTGCCGTATCTACCGCTGCCTTTGCTGCTACTGCTGCCACTGCCGCAAAGGTTGCACTAGCAGTTGCAGTGCTAGTATTAAGTCCATGACTAGTTCTTCTGCTAGCACTACTACTTCCAGTGCTGCTTTTTCATCACAACAACTTCTGCCAGTTGCCGTTGCAGAGGACTTGTCTATGACCGTTGCTGTTCCATTTCTTCATGCTGTTGCACCCAACAGTTAGCTCGCCAGTGAACTGCGCAAATCCGCAGCTCCGAACACAGAGCCCAAGCCGTGTATCCCCCTAAACCCTAAACCGTAAACTTAAACCTCTAAACCCTAAACTCTAAACCCTAAACTCTAAACCCTGAACTCTAAACCCTAAACCCTGAAGGACAGCATATATGTTGCAAGCATCTTCGCGCAGCAGTCTCGCACAAGCCAGGGCAAGGATTCTCATTATGAGCTCCTAGGGCGGAAGCGATTAGGGTTTAGGGTTTAGACGGGCATAATGTAGGGGCTTTAATGATGTAGGGTTCTTGTAAAGGGGTCTATAAGGGCTAAGGGCTGCTATAAGGGATCTATAAGGGTACCATAATGTAGGGCCTACATGATTACCGATACCATTTTGGGAGGGTTCCTTATTACGATTATAGTATATTGGGCCCCAACATCCTATTCTAATTATTAAAGCCAACCCCTTAAAGGAACCCTATTCTAATTATTAAGGCCCCTATAGTCGACCTGGGGATTCAAAAGCAGACGCTGGTGGTCTCGCGACACTCCCATCGTAAAGAACTTGTTGTGCAGTCTAGTTGTAGCGCTTGAGAGGCTGCAGTAGGAGAAACCCGATTTCTAATCACCCTAAGCCCAAAACCCTAAACCCCTAGGCCCTAAATCCTAACCCCCTAAGCCCAAAACCCTAAACCCTAAACCCCTAGGCCCTAAACCCTAAACCCCTAAGCCCAAAGGCCAAAATCTAAACCCCCCAAGGCCCTAAACCCGAAACCCCTAAGCCCAAAGCCCTAAACCCTAAACCCCCCAAGGCCCTAAACCCTAAGCCCCTAAGCCCAAAACCCTAAACCCTAAACCCCTAGGCCCTAAACCCTAAGCCCCTAAGCCCAAAGCCCTAAACCCTAAACCCCTCAAGGCCCTAAACCCGAAACCCCTAAGCCCAAAGCCCTAAACCCTGAACCCTAGGACCTTTAAACCCTAAACCCCTAAGCCCAGAGCCCTAAACCCCAATTGAGTGGTTGTCAAAATTAAGGTCCATTTTTGGGTACCCTAAATATTAGGAGCCGTACTATATTAGGGACCCAAAAAGGGGCCATAATTTTGACAAGCACCCAATTAAACACAAAGCCCCTAGCTCTGAAGCACCGGGTCTTTCCGGAGGTTTTCATCCCACGGGTCCAAACTCTGACACGGTGCCTGTAGTCTCATTTGCAGTTCCTTTTTTCGGGGCTGCCGTGTAGGATCCCAATTACCCCTAAACCCTAAAACCCTAAACCCTGAAGGAACTATGTAACTTTATTAAGCCGAAAAAGGAAGTACAATGGAGACTCAAGGTAAAATTATGAGTCGAAGGAGCCAAAGATACCCAAAAGAGATCGTGGGTATAGGGTTTAGGGCTATAGGCTTTAGGGTTATAGGGTTCAGGGTTTGGTGTTGTAGGGTTTAAAGCTTAGGGTTTCGGGTTTCCCCACTCAAGTTGAGCTGCTACTTTTCCTCATGGCGGTGTTTTGGAGTCCTCAAGCGGTTCGCCAGTTTGAAGCTGGAACCGAGGCTCCGTCAGCGATCCCGAGTGTTTGTCCTCCTGTGAGGTGCTGCAGCTCATGCTACAGGCATCTTCTTTGGGGGGCTTTGTAAGGTTCATAAGCTAAACCCTAAACCCTAAATCATAAAGGTTGAGTTCGGAATTTAGCGCTTGAGGTGCCGGGGAAGACATACTTGAGCGGTTCAGGCTGTCGCGTTTGTGGGCATAAGGCCTAAACCCCAAACCCCTAAACCCCAAAAGCCTAAGCCCCTAAACCCTCAATCCCAAATGCTTGAACCCTAAACCCTAAAACTCTAAGCTTTACACCCTAAACCCATAGCCCTAAACCCTCATCCCTGAACTCTTAAAGGCCCATCTCCGGGTGGAGTGTGCTGTGGTCCATGGCCGCCGTCAAATGTCAAGCTGGAAGCCTTTTGCCTACTACCTGGTCGTCGTGCCTCGGTAGAGTTTAGGGATGTTATAGGGTTTTGGGAAACCCTATGCCCTAAAGTTTAGGGCCCAAACCGTGGAATGTTTAGGGGAATAGGCACAGCTTAGGCTTTTTGATGCAACCTCCAAAAAACCTAGCTTGGGCAACTAAGGTCCTCTTCCGGGGCATTCTGAATGATTATGCCTTCCGCCGGACTTTGACGCAGGCCTTGGCACCATCCAAACGGTCTTTGGAGGTCGTGCCCTTAGTGATCTTTCATCTTAAACCCTCTACGCAGACCTTAAATGCCTGCCTCTACAACTTGGGACTTCCCTGTATGGTAATCCCTCTGTTCCCTCTGTGGAAAACCCTGTGCCTACTACTTATATCTCTGTTGTAGAATGTCTTGACTGTTCCGAACCCTGAACCTTTAGCTCCGTATTGATAGACGTCTGAGTCCTGCAACCTCTAGAGAAAGATGACCCTAAATCCTGATCCCGAGACCCTTGCAGAACCCTTCCAGTAGCCCTCACGGTACGATTTTCAGAAAGACCTTGCATCCGCAAAATAGAAAAGAGCAAGACCTAAACCTAAACCCTAAGCCCTAAACCCTAAACCCTAAACCCTAAACCCTAAGCCCTAAGCCCTAAACCCTAAACCCTAAGCCCTAAGCCCTAAACCCTAAACCCTAAACCCTATAAGCCCTAAACCGATCAGCGAAGGTCTTGACGCTCATTGCTGACCCACAGTTCGAGTTTCCAAACCTGGCAGAACTGGAAGAGGAAGAAGACGAGGTCTACGATGCGGCCGTTTGCTTTAAAGTGAGGGTTCAGAGGATCCGGGCTGAGGGTTTAGGGAGTTTAGAGTTCAGGGTCTGGGGCTGGTTCTTTGCCATGGGAATTTCGGTTTCGCGCTGGTTTTAAAAAGGATCTGGAAAGGGTCTTGCTGATGTGTCTCACTCGTCTTCTGCGCCTATGACTTCGGAGTGACTGTTCTTTTGAGTCTGTTTTTCTGTTTCCTTATACCTTACCCTGTATTTCTGGGCATGCTCAGCATATGCATATGCTTGAGTGTTGTTGGTATGTGCATTGTTCCTACTTGTAGTTTGGCTTACGCAGAAATAGTTCTTGATGCTCGCAATTTACTGAATGTTCGTGGTATTCATTACATCCGATGCTCCGATTCTTCCGTCTCCTTGTTGGCCATTCATGAGGCCACTGGCAGCGATCGAACTGCAACGCGGCAGCAGCAACCCTAAACCCTAAGCAGTCCTGGCAGCACAAAAACATCTCTCGCCCCACAGTTCTCCCCCTGCTTCCGCAATGTCAAGCTCTGCCACTCACCCCTCCTCCCGCAACGTAGAAACCTGCTTATTCATTATGGTTATATTGAAACCAACAGCTTATTCTAACTCTTCAGGCCTCTACATGAGGCTAGAAAAGAACACAAGATCTTCCCCACTTCCCGACTTGGGCTTTTACGTCTGCAATCAATGCGCAGATTGCAACGCACCACGCCGCAGCTCCCCTCCCGGAATTCTGAAGTCAAGTAACGCCCTCTGAAGGCTTTGGGGTCCCCACTACTGTAGCATGCTTCTTCCTCCTGTGGTCATAGCACAGCTAGACCCTAAACCCAACTGATAACTACGCTTTGAACCCATGACCACGCTCTCTTTCTACCATGTCACGCTCTTTCGAGGCCACGGACAGCGAGCAAGCTGCATTTCGCCAGCAGCAAATTCAGGCCGGACGAATCCTGAAGCCAGAGAGCTCCACGCCAAAGACCAATATACTACAATGATCTAATACAGTGTAATAATCTAACATGATAGAAGCAATGAAACACATTATACAAAGTATAATCTGCGCTTTATGACCTACCGTATCTATGTCTTTTTTCTATATCTAAATCAAAATCTATATCTATATCATTATCCTGCATCTAGATCTATACCTATATCTGTATGTGTATATATATATATGTATATATATGGTGTTACATGTGGTACTCGATGCGACACAGTATAAGGTACACGCTATACAATATATGATAGATGGCACAAGATATAATTACACAATTGCACAGTATACGATAGATTATACAAAATATGTTTTGTATGTACTGTAGATAATATGCTGGACATAGTACATAGTATATGATTTACATGGTAGGTATGTATATATATATATGTACATGTATATGTGTATATGACTGACATATGACAAATGACATGCGGTATAGAACTTAGAGACCCATACGCCGCTATATCACCTAAAGCCCGTGGCTATGAAGCCAAGTTCAAACACTGCAACAAAGGGGCCTGCCCCCCTCGTTAGGGGGCTGGTAATTATTGAGGCCCCCATAGTACATCCTCATAATAGCCCGTACAGGAACCCTTTAAAGGAATCCTTCAAAGGAACCGTTTAGAGGCCCCACATTAACGTTATCAAGCCTTGTTTAAGCACTGTAAAGCCTTCATAGAACCCGCATAGATCCCTTATATCAGTATCCTTTTCCAGGAACCTTTTGAAGGAACCCTATTCTAATTATTGAGGCCCTAGTAGTGAAGCCTTCGGAGAGGCCTTGCGGAGCCTCGTCACCGTTCTGGCCCTACCATTCTCGCCCCTAGCATCAGAAGGCCGTCAGAGTTGGGGGGTGTTTAGGGGTAGGGCTTTTAGGGTCTAGGGTTGAGGGGTTTGGGCTCTGGGGGTTTTGGAGGTTAATTTAAGGATTAGGGTCTAAAGTTTAGAAGTTCGGGTTTAGGGTCGGGGGATTAGGGTCTAAAGTTCAGGGGCTTAGGCAGTGGGGCTTGAATCATTAGTGTTTCTGTTGCCCAAATCCCCCGCCTTAAAGCCCCCAAGACTCCACCAACTCCTTGTTCTGCACAGGGCCCTTGAAGCCAACTTCGGTGATCGGTAGCTTGGTGTATTGTGAATCTGAAGGCCTTTTGTGGGTTTCCCGCGTCTTGGAAGCTTTGCCCTGGCTACCATCGTTTGGTTTTTTGGTCCGAAACCCAGCCTAAGCCCTGAACCCCGAAACCCCCAAACACCAAACCCTAAACCCTGAACCGTAAGCTCCCTGTTTGCTGGATAGGGTTTAGGGTTTAGGGGTCCCGGACAAGGTGCTTTGCCAAGACCAGTACTTGGAGGTTTATGGGTAGTTACAAGTAGGTTTGTAGGTAGGGTAACTATGCTTATAACCCATATTAGGGGACTTATAACGCCACTTATAACTACCCATGAACCTCCAAGTACTGGCTCCTGAACAAAGCCGTCACCCGGCGCTAAACCTGCGGGCACGCCTCGCAGCAGCGGAACAATGCAAGTACTATAGGGGCCTAAATAAAAACCAATACTAGTTTGAGGGGTTCCTTACTATAACCATAGTATAATATACCCCACAACCCTATTCTAATTATCAAGACTGCCAAGACCAGTACTTGGAGGTTTATGGGTAGTTACAAGTAGGTTTGTAGGTAGGGTAACTATGCTTATAACCCATATTAGGGGACTTATAACGCCACTTATAACTACCCATGAACCTCCAAGTACTGGCTCCTGAACAAAGCCGTCACCCGGCGCTAAACCTGCGGGCACGCCTCGCAGCAGCGGAACAATGCAAGTACTATAGGGGCCTAAATAAAAACCAATACTAGTTTGAGGGGTTCCTTACTATAACCATAGTATAATATACCCCACAACCCTATTCTAATTATCAAGGCCTCTGTAGTACACTACCATGATACTATGTATGTGTATCCGTATTGCATTATTACACATCGTTTCGATTGAAAAAGTGCAGCCACGAGATCGGCGCATGACCTTGCCAAAAGTCAAGGAACTTCCTGTTTGTAAAGCAGTTGTCAGACATTAGCTTTCTCAACCTGAAACTGAGACCCTGAACCCAAAACCCCAAAAACCAAAGCCCCAAAACCCTAACCTAAACCCTAAACTGGTCCGACACCCTAAACCTTCAAGAACGGGATGAAGAGAAAACATGTGAATTTTTTGCTTCGAACTGAATTGCATCTTCAATATATAATTAGTTTCGAATTTCTGTAAACGTGGGCGAAGAGAGCCCGGCCCAGCCCAACGGCAGCCCAGCCCAGCCCAGCCCAGCCCAGACAAAAAGGCAGAAGCAAGAAGCAAAACCCGGCAAAACCCCGGCACGAAACCCCAAAAGCCAAAACCCCCAAACCCTAACTAAACCCTAAAACTTGAAGCCCCAAGCCTTAACCCCGAAACCCTAAGCCCTAAACCCCTAAACCTCTTCTTCTTCCATGTATTATGATGGGTACTGGTTTAGGGTTCAGGGTTTCGGGTGTAGGGTATGATGGGACATGTGCATCCCATGCGCCAATACAAGTCATGGGGCTTAGGGCTTAGGGAAACCATGAGCCCGAGATCTCACGCTTGATGCGTAACTTCTAAATTCCGAGGCTTGAACCGCGAACCTCAAGCTCTGAACTCTATACCTCCCGCGGGTCTGAGTAAGGGATATACCTTAAATTATAGTAGGATCCCTATTAAGACTTAAGGAATATATAATATGCCCCAACCAATCTTGTTGGCACTGATTTAACCCGAAACCCTAAACCTGCAGGTTTGCAGCAAAAACAAGTTGCTGAGATTGCTGGACGGATGCACCGCTACAAGGACTTTTGCATGTCCAAGTCCGGTCGATCCGGTTGTAGGGTTCACTGTTTAGGGTTAAGGGGTTAGGGTGTACTTGGAGGTTCATGGCTAGTTATAAGTAGGATTATAAGTAGGATAACTATAACTATAATTCCTATTAGTTGACTTATAACCCGATCTATAACTACCCATGAACCTCCAAGTAGGCCCTAAACCCTATACCTCTATAGAATCCCTATAGATCCCTTCAAAGGGACCCTTAAAGGATCCAGGGTTGGGGAGTCGATGGTCAGTGCGTCTATCTGCATGGCGAGAGTTTGCCGCAGACGGGAGCGCGAGGCCGCAGCGTACCCTAAAGTTCCCAGAGACTCCAATATCCCTTAATTAAGGAATATACCTTAAATTTTAGTAGGATCCTTAATATGATTTAAGGGTTATATCCCTAGATCCTGAATATGATTTAAGGATTATTCACTAGTTGGGTTATGCTAGTTTTGCATTCCTCAGGCCGCCCGGAAACCCACCAACCCTGAAACCTGTGGTACTAAAGGACCCACCCCAAATCTCTCGAGAGGTTTAGGGTTTAGGGTTTAGGGTTTAGGGTGGCAACCAGTGGCACTGACAGCAACAACACCAGCAACAACAACTTCGATATCGGCACGGTCCATTTCCCCACGAGGGATGATCGTCACAGCCGCGACAAGCAGCATCGTAGTCTCCCCAGGGTAATAACACTGCTAACAAGGAGTGGCTTCGCTGCCGTCATCATCATCATCATGATCATCCTCATCATCGTCGGCATCAGCATCACTACTGTCACCTTCGCAATCAGTCATCCGAATAGGTGACCGGGTATGTTGCGTCGTTCATCCTAGTCGCTGTCATCGTCAGTATCTTCGAAGTGGTCATCTTAATCTTTATCTTCGACACCGGTGTGTCATCAGCAGCATCAACATGATCGAAACGGGGTGGTCGCCTGACCAAAGGCATAACGCAATAACCGCCGTCCTTGTAGACATGACGCATGACGCACCATGTCTGCAATGCGAGCAGCCAGAGTACCGTGCACAGTACTGTAGGAACCTGAATAATTACCACTATTTTTGCAGAGGGTTCCTTATCCAAAGTAGACTGTACCCTAAACCCTAAACTATAGTAACAAAGGAACGCCCAACACCTTATTTTAATTATTACCTTAAGGCTCCTGGACCCTTGTAGTGAAATCCCGGACCCTAGCCCCGAAAGCCGAAACCCTCCCCCAGAAAGCCCAAGACCCTCTCAGGAGCCTTAGGGTAAGGCTCCCAGATTTGTCGGAGGATCCTGCCGCTGCTGCTTGGCGGGATGAAGCGGACGACAAGCTCACAGAAGCGAGCTTACAGGCGCCGGTGCTAAGGGTTTTAGGGGTCTGGGGTTTGAGGTTTAGGGTGCTATTAGGGTTTGGGGTTTAGGGTTTAGGGGTTTAGGGTCTAGGGGTTTAGGGGTTTGGGGTTTAGGGTGCGAATAAGGTATAGGACGGATTACGATTCCCTAAACCCTGAACCTTACATCCTGAGCCCTGAACCCCCCTGAAACCCTAAACCGTGTCAGATTTAGGGGGTCGGGGTGGGGCCGAGGGCTGATCTCTACGGTGTCGCCGGGAGTGTTGTCTGGCACGGGCACAGAATGGCATTAGCCTGAGATGACCAAGTTTAGTCAGCCATGAATGTCGACGAGCGTCGACATGAATCACACCTTTCTGCCTTTGACAAGCGTGGGTGCAAACAGTGAGACGTGATGCAGCATGACGCTGTAGACGTGGTGATTGCAACAGTGATGAAGATGGATGGGCTAGTGGTGGTGAAGTGGAGAATGGTGAGAAGGAGGAGGACGGGGAAAAGCGTCGTGATGAGGAGGATGATGAAGAGAGGCCCAGAAGTTCTTTTTGCGATCCAGTTTCTTTGCTTTCAGGCAACAGTCGTGTCCTGCACTCTCTCAATGTTTTTTGTGGAAACCCTGAACCAAGGACTCCTGTCGGCATTCCGAAACGTCCAGACCGGATGTTTGTTTGTCGATCGTAACCCAAACCTTGGCATGTGTTGATAGGAAGAACACCCAGACCTATCGTAGTGTCGTGCTTTTATGGTTCATCCGTTTCTGAGCTGTAGGTTTGAAGTTAAGTAAGGGGCTAGGAGAACCTCTACGGCCCAAGTCTCAGATGGACAGACCCTAAACCCCAAACCCTAAGCCCTAAACCCTGCCACACCTCCTCCTGGCCGTCAGGCCTTATGGTAGCTCAGATGGCCGTGCAGCCCTAAAAAGGAGCTCAAAAAAACCTGAACTCAAAGCCCTAAACGCTAAACCACTAAACCCTAGGCCCTAAGCCCTAAATCCCTGAAACCCTACAGTACGCTTAAAGGAACCCTACTCGTCCCTTAAAGGAACTCCTAAGCCCAAAACCCGAAACCGACCAGATGTTGCACCCATAAACCCTAAATTCCACGCCCTAAACCACTAAGCCCCTAAAATCCGAACCGACAGGATGTTGCAGGAGTGGGTCGGCTGGGATCCATGGCCAGCTGCTACTCCCAAGTAACAGCCCCTGGCCGAAGGATCCGAAAGCTGACAGGGGTTTAGGGGTTTAGGGGTTAGGTGTTATTAGTTTAGGGTTTATAGGTTAGGGGTTTAGGGGTTACGGGTTTTGGGGTTAGGGAAAAGGCGCTATAGGGGTTCAGGGCTTTTGCGGGGGTTACGTATTGTACACTTTAAACCAATATGTGCAGTGTCGCGAAGATGGGCGGGTGATCCGGGGTTATAGGCGATGTTTGAAAGGTTTTGGACTTTAGGGACAAGACATAGAGGCTGGGTTTGAGCCCAGGGTCCGTCAATAGAGCAGCAGTGACAGGAAGAGCTCTGGAATCTGTCGACAGAAGGTTGCCAAGATCGATCGTTTGGACTTGCATTTCTCTCAGAATTCGCCGTGGTTCCCGTGTGTCGTCTTTGGTTGAGAATGTCATGATCATGCCCCTGCCCGGGCTCCCCATCCCTCCACTGTAGAGTTTCGGCTGACGCCCAGAAGCTAGCTGCAACAAGGCTGCATCACATCTAGCATGTCCTACGGTTGATGATATATATCCTGCATGACCCATAATAAGGAATATACCATAATTCCCATAGTTTAGGGCCCTTAAGGTAATGCAGGATTTATGTCATCCACCGTAGTACCAGGCCTGACCCGTCGACTCTACACTTCGCCACCTCAGCCGAGGCTCCAGACGGCACGGAGTCCATCGTCCCTGTCGAGAGCATCGAGAGCATTCGCAGCATGCGGCCGAATCCAGATCAGTCGTTTTCCGTGTGAGCAGCCTGTACTCCACTTGGAGGTTCATGGGTAGTTGGAAGTGGGGTTGTAAGTAGGATAACTATAGTAATGAGCCATATTAGGGGACTCAGAACCCCCACTTATAACTACCCATGCACCTCTAAGTAGGAGTTCAGGCATAGGCGGCATCTTTCTGGTTGACGCTGTTGCTCGTAATGGAGAGGCCGTTCAGGGTTATCGTTGTCGTGGGCTAACTCTTGCTTGTCCCTGCCTAGGTTGGCAAAACGGGCATGCCAAGGTATTGGTCCTGCATAGAACTACACTACACAGCCATATAGATAGCAAGCCCTGAAACCTTACGCAAACCTACACCCTAGCATTATCTATGGCCTCTTGGTCTGCAATTGGGCACCAGCTGTGGCGGTTTCGTCTGGCAAACGCCAACGAAACAGAGACCATGCCTGTTTGTCCCCCAACTTAGCTGTACAGAAACACCTGTGTAGACGCTTTTCTGCTGAGCCTGGAGGAAAGCAGCGTTAAACCTTCCCGACTGCGAAGCAGTATTCCACAGCTTTACCCCGCAGTTTCAGACAAAGAGCTCCCTGTACGTAGATCCTAAACCCTAAACCCGCGAAGGCTAAACCCTCAACTCCCACACCCTAAACTAAACCCTAAACTCGCTGGCGAATTTTCTGAAACTCCTACGGTGTGATCTCCCGATGCAAGGCATGAGACTGGTCACCCCCAATGTCTGGATTTGTATCAACTCAGAGAAGTGCATCCAGACAAGGATGAGAAAACGGTGCTTGTTTTGCGCGTTGTTTTAGAAATCATTATCTAAGTGGTTTGAGTATCTATTATTTCCTCCTTCATTTTTATTTAGGTATTTGTATATATATATATATATTGTATTATATATATAATGCAATATTAACAAACGTGTATTAGAAACATATATGTATATATACCTATGTGATTTGTTCTTTAAATATTCTGGTAGCTATCGAAAGCAATTTCTATTTTAAGAACAAATTTATTTTGAAATCAAAAAATTCGAACTTGCGAAATGAATAGATAATTGTATGATAAAAAATACGAAATCCTATATCTGCATCATGTTTCTTTTCAAAAATGAGGCGATGATTACCGAAATCTCATGATTTCGAGATATTAGGCGAGGTGCAGAAATTGATAGTAATATCATTATTCTTCTTATTATTTATTGAAGATAATGATTA